CATCATCGGCACCCCCTCATCCCCCAACCCCCCCTCCACATCCCCCTCCTTCCTCCCCTCCTCCCCACTCCCACCCTTCTTCTGTCTACTCAACGCCGCCCACAACGCACTCCCCACAATCAACCCACACCCCACCACACTCACAACCCCCATCTCATGCCCAAACACCCACTTATCAAACCCCGCCGCAAACAACATATGTGTATACACCATCGCCGTCGCGCGGTTCGACTTCTCCCCGCCAATCCCCGCCGTCATCATAAACTGCATGATAAACCCGCACAGCCCCAAGGACAGCAACAAGAACCACTCGTACACCGTGCCGGGCAGCAGGCCGGCGAAGCTGACGACGGGTGGGGTGGATTGGGCGATGTTGAGGAGGGGACAGAGGAGGAGGGCGACGGTGCTGACGAGGGTGCTCCAGACGGAGAAGTAGTTGACTGTGATGAGGGCGTGGGCGCGCGTGCCGATGTAGCGGATGGTGGTGTAGGCGCCTGCTGCGCCGAGGACGCCGAGGAGGCCGATGAGGATGGCGAAGAGGCGTTGGGAGGGGGTGGGTTCGTTGGGGTCGTCGGTTGTGGTTGTGTTGTCGGCGTTTTCAGGGGTAGCTGGGTTGTTGCTGTTGCCGAACAGAGAGGTTGGCCGCGCGATGAGGACAACGCCGAGTAGGGCGAGGAGGGAGGCGAGTTGTTCTTTGCGCGTGAAGGGGTCTTTGAGCCAGAGGTGGCAGATGTAGCCGGCTAACATGGGGGCGAGGAAGGTGATGACGGTGGCTTCGGCGAGGGGGAGGTACATCATGGAATACCACATTCCGTAGATTCCAAACTGTGGACGGTAAGTATATGAGGCACAGACACAAACACATCGGCTCGCCGATAACGAAGCAAACCGATGATGGAAACGGTCATCACAACAGCACTTACAAATCCCGAAACACCCCGCACAATCAACACAACGCGGATTCCCCTTGCACCCAGCGGAAAGTCAGGTACCTGATTCCACCACATGTATAAGCAAGACAGCACCGTGGTGAGACTCATGCGAGCAAACAATATCTGCAGCGGGTGCATGTTCGACTCGAGCTCCAGAAGCCTCGCCGAGAGGTTCATCAGCGCCCCAAAGAGCTGCGAGACCGCCACCAGAATCACACCCCGATTCCTTGTCCAGAACCGTCCCATAGCCCCGGAAGCCCCTGGTGTATGGGGTTCGTGGTGGTATCCTCCAAGCGGGGCGGGTGATAAAGTTCGTGAGTATGCTGACATCGGGCTGGCAGAGAGGGCTCGAGGAATGTTGGGGGCGAGGAAGGGTGATGGAGGCTTGCTGTTCCCCAAGTCCGCTAGTGGGAGATGATCGATAATGTCACTATCAGCATCCTCATCGTCGTCGTGGCCGTGGTAGTTGAGCCTTGACTTGGCTTGGGAGGCCCGCCGAGGATCTAGGAACCCCGCCATGATGTTAGTGTTGACTACGCTCAACGACTAACGTTGGACAAGTTGGGTGCGTCCGTTCCTTCACGAGTCCGGGTGTGATGGGCCTGATGGGAGAACTGTTTTCCAGGGTAGACGAGATAAATCGATACTAGGTAATTTTCCATACTGAAGGTGCGGGTAAGGAAAGGTAAAAAAAACCGAACACCCGAGCGACGGACCCCATCTTCGGGTCATCAGTTAAAGGCTGCCGAGCACCTCAGAGGTGGAGCGAAGGGCGTGCGTGTTATTCCCGAATACCTAACGTAGCTAGCGTTGCTCCTGCTGCTGCACTGCTACACCTCACACGCGCGGATGACACCTCTGGTGGGTGCAGCGAACGCTTGGGGAACTTTGGCCTCCTAGGTAAGCTCCGTCACCGGCCTACCGCGGGGGCCCAGAACATCGGATAAGGACCTGAGCCGAGAGTAAGCTCCCCGGTTCGGCCTGCTCGGCCCGCAACCTCACGCATCAAGGTGCCTGGGAGAACGTGCAGATTACCCATTCTGGAAGACAGACCCGTTCGTCCCGGGCTTTGGGGTAAAAAGTGGACGTGGGGCGGTGTGGGGAAGAAAGTTCTCGGACTGGAAAAAAGGATTCAAGAGCGGAAAAAGTCTTGCGGAATCTCGCACGTTGAATTAGCAAGGCAAGTAAGATAGGAACAGGAATAAAAAATGAAATTAACAAATGAAACTGAAAGATAATATTTCTGGACAAAATCGGTATTGTAACAATTGCACCCTCTTATACTGTGACAAAGAAGCGGGCAAATCCTAACTACAAAATTACTTAGATAATGAAAGAGACCAACACGGAAAGTGGGCCGGATTCCGGCGGATTCGGAGTAAGACGAACTACCTATGGAAAAGCACTTGGAAAAGGAGACAGTTGAGTGGAAAAGTGAGTTGTTCTACATAAATTAAATTTGTATTAGAATACAAATAATTAGTTGAAATGCTTAGCGAGGGGTTCTGCTCCTTTCTATAAACCTTAAGCTACTTTTACACCTCAAAGTCATTTCTCTTGTTTCAAAAATGGGACAACGCCTGACAAAGTCACGGTTACGGGGAGTATTAGCTCCCAATCTACGGATCCTTAACCAGCTGAAGACTTTGAGATCATACGTCGTCTCGTTTATTCTTAGGTGGGGTCGGACAAATCAATGATACCCTAAGGTAGCAGCTTGGATATCAACAAAGAGAACGGCGGGTTAGGAGGGACGGCATCGTACATCTAAACTCGTTGGGGAACCTCCGTCCTTCGTTGGGCCGAATATGTGTTTATCTGTAATCTTGCCTAGCAGTCTGTTTGGCGAAAAAAGAAGAAAGAGCTCAATAGAAAGCAGCGCCCTACCAATACCAATTTTGTACCCATCCCATCCGAACGCCATTGCTATGCGACCAAACACCAAGGCAATCCCAAACCCCTCAAAGCCACCAAAATTGTCCCAGCCCCAGTAACCCGGGCCATCTCTTTTCCACCTCTGATTAAAGAGGTTCATCGAGTCCCAAATCCAAATCATCGCCTCCATCATCCAAATCCTCCTCCCCAATCTGCACCCGCGACATCACCTTCTTCCCACCCTTCCGGCTACTCCCCTTATCCCGGTCCTTCTCAGCCGCCTTCTCCTCTTTATCCGCATCCTTCATCAGCTGGTCCTCAATATTGAACCCCTTCCGCGCCGCCTCAATCTCCTTCTTCTTCTCAAACATCTCCTGAATCTTGCCCATGTAGTGCGGGTTGCGTCGCATGGCAAACTCAAAGTCCTCAAACTTTACTTTTTGCCGCCCGGCATGTTGTGCAGCCCGTGTTGCTTCGAAGCTCACTCCTTGGATGAATTCGGTCAGAATCTCGTCCAGTATGCGGACGGTCTCGTTAAGTGGCGCGCGTACGTCGCCGTGGCCGTAGAGGAGCTGGGCGACTGGGAGGGGAGAAGTTGTGTTAGGGGTGGAGAACGGACTGGAAGGGAGAGGTGGGAGATGGGGGGAATTGCATACGTTCGTTGTGGCCAAAGTTCATCTTACCGACATTTTTGCCGGCACGCGCTCTGGGCTCCATCTTGATGGTTGTGATGGGGGCTGTTGTATGGGAAAACGCAGGCGGGACGCGGTCGCGGGGCTTGACGACGTGGTGGTCGGTCCGGAATAGCGATTAGGAGAATGGTTCGTCGATTGGAGGTGTAAACGGAACTTCGGTAATAATAGCGCCCCGGGGGGATTTCAGGTCCCAGGTTGCCCCAATGTTGATGAATGAAGGAAAGCAGACGGACGTCAAGCAGTTGAGAAGGCTGAAGGTGAGGCTGCTGTAAATTCCCCACAGCTTCCAAGTTTCCACTGCAGTGGGTCTGGACCTGCAGCCGCAGGCCCACTTTCCAGGTGGCCCCACTGGACCCCTGGCGGACCTATCGCAAGAAACACGGTCGAGGACAGCTCTCGCGACAACATCAACCACGGCTGAAGTTCGAACTTGCAACTCCCAGTACCGACACCCCGTTTGTTCTTGTTGATACATCAGCCTGCGCCCATACACGGAATATGGTACACGCAAACCCCCAAGCCTACCCCAAAACCGCCTCATTTTATGGAACCTGTGAGAGCTAACGCCGCCCTTTTCCACCAAACAGACAGCCCTCTTCAACTTCACGAGCCTCCTGCTCGTCATCCTCCTTCTTATCTGGTACGGCAGCAACTCCCTCCAAGCATGCCACAGCTAGCGGCTTTCCATACGTGAAAGCGACAACAAACGCGATCCTTCTTTACACAGAACTGACCATCGAATCTTCGTTTACAGCACATGCGCCTACCTTCACCAACTATTCCCTGCGATTTTGGACCGGAATAAAACTGGGTTAGCTTCCCACCGATGACCCTGAGAGCAGCCAGGTTAGGCTGGGCCGAGCTAAAGATGAAAGCGTGCTGACAACGCCGGGTGTGTAACAGAATCATGGGCATATTCTGGAAGTGCGCACGTATAGGGGAACGGCTGAGCCCGTACATGAGTTTGTGTTGTGGGGTTATGGCGGTGAGTTTTCATCATACCGTCTGGTTTTTGGTGTCTCGATGTGTTCTTACGCTCTCGGCCCAATGGTTCTGTGGCTGTGGCCTGACCTGGGACACGAGCAAGAATGGTATGCACACCATAGACGATGGGATGTCTGCTAACAAGGTGGTGGCCGTTTTGTTAGATCTCGATTTTCGTCGGCATGTAAAGTATTCCCGAGTGCAAAACGGAGTTGGGGACTGTAACGCGGCTTAGAAGTTATGGATATGGATGTTTGACTTACGGGGCGTTTTGGGGTTGAATTCTTCTTTCCGGGCCAGCGGACGGCGATATTGGCGTTGGAACGGGATCTGCGCCGCGAAAACTTACAGCATGCGACTCATCGATATCAGGTTGCTTGTCCGGTGATGACTAAGAGAGGGATGGCATCCCTAGGGGCCGCCAGCCGACAGGCTCCGAAAGTGCCAAAAACGACTTCGGCCGGATCCGGCTGCAACGAGCACCGTCGCCAGCCCCAAAAGATGCGCCAAATGTAGTTGCTCAAGATTAGCACCCGAATATTGCCGTTTGCCCGCTCTAGCCCGCGAGCAGCCTCCCGTTCACCGAACCAAGTGCACCCGTCGAGCTTCTCGAACTCATCTAAATGGACAAACAACACAGGTTTCGGGCCCGTCATTTGGTTAAATTCGGTCGAGACTTGGGAAATTCAGCACGATGTTGTACTTGGCTCGACTACGGAAGCGGACTTCGGGAGCGTTCGGAGCACGACCAAGAGCACATCCAAGGTCGGCCGGGAACGGGTCGGAGTTACGGGGCAAAGAAGCGGGAACCCGGGGTCTGTTCACATGACGATGCGGTCGAGAGGTGCTGGGATGCAACAGGCCGTGGCCGGTGACGAAGAGTATATGGGGCGGGATCCGTGGAAATGTATATATTGCACATATTTCCTGCGCAGTCTTGCGTCATATGCGTGATGCACTGATCCGGTCGGCCGTGTCGAGTGTTTGGTTTTGATGTCTGCATCATCTAGGGAACATAGCACATCACAGCGACAGTCGTTTCTATTATCCTAGCTGTGGTTGCGTTAAGGCTCCAGCAACTTCATCCTGCCAGGCTGAAAGATATACCATTATGGCTCGAGCACAACAAGCCATCGTCCTCACTCCCGCATATCCGACGCATAACGGCCGTTCCCTCGCCGTGATATCTCCAGGCTCAGCCTTGCGAGCAACCCCCCCTGCTCAGACACCAACGTGCAGGCAAACCGAACACAAGTCCTCCACGCGGGAAGCCGGGCTGAATGCCGGGTCCCGGGCACCGAGTGCTAGTGACCTCGGCACGCCACAGGATGTACCACTTCTAGCGCATGGTTTGAGGGATTTCCTGAGTTCTGGCTTACTATGTACGGACGCCTTGATACTGAAATTGTTATGTCTTGTACTCAAACTAGAATTACGGTTTCGATACGCAGGGTGAGCTACCGTCATGCAAATAGCTGACAAAGCCTACCGAGGCATCACACCAAGCTGCAGGTGGGTTTATTGCGCAGATATGCACGCTGCGGAATGTCTAATCTGACGTTTTGGGTTTCAACGTTTTGTCTGCGGTTCATGTACACTACATAGTAGTGTAAGGACGGCTCCTTTGTCTCAACCAGGATCTACACGAGAAAGGATATCAACTCCCTCGCATAGACAAACATCTCGCAAAGAACGACCATTTGGGAAGAACAGGTTCAGATGACAATGGCAGTATGAGAACGCAAGACATGACAAGCAAAATAAAACGTGGCGTGATGTAAAAAAAAGTAAACTTGGGTCAAGATCGATCGCCATCCGGCAACAACACCCATTGTTCGCAGACGAAAACGAGAAACGGAGATCTTGAATGAATGTCTTCGATCGCCTCCCACGTGGTCAACATTGCCAAGCAAGATTTCACAACCATTCAATATCCGGTCCGAATATCCTAGCCAAAAGCTGAGAAAGACGGAAGCAAATCGTGCGGCTCTTTCCACATTTCGTCGATCATGAAGTTTTCGAGAGATTTACACTGCACTAGCTTTTGCCCTCGGGACCACGAGGAACCCCTTGCGAGGGGGTGGGGAACGGTGATCTTCGCCGTGCATGTTGCGGGAATGCGATATTGCTTCTCGTCGGGGAAAAGCTTGAACTCTCATCTGAGCTAGTTTTTTTAGGTTGGGGTCGTTGGCTTGCTGCCTCTATTCCGTTTTGGGCGATGGCGATCTCTTTGTCTCAATCTTGTATCTTGTTGATCCTGTGAGAAGGAAAATATGACGAGCACTAACTTGGTGTGTGTAATTGGACCAACAGCCGGTATGATCCGGATGGGGGCTGAGTTTTGTTGGATGATAACACTGGTAAGCATGCAGGAGCAAGAGAATTCCAAATCTTAGCAAAGAATGAACAACATTCTAGCTTTACTCTGCGTGAGAGCGTTTCTTGTTGCGGGTTGCCAACTTAGAAACACCTGCCATGAAGGGAACCACTCCGCAGCTGAGAGGAAAATAATCTTGCTGCGGCCGAAACGAAGGCGTGAGTGAGGAGTAGCAGGCAAAATGCAACTCATTTAGGGAAATGAGGCTTGTGGCATGGTGGTTGCAGGATGGTGGGCTTTCTGCGCGGCTGCGGCGTTGGAGACAATGTCCAAACCGGGGAGATCTCAACTTCCAACAATAACTAACTCGATTTCCGTCCAGCGCAGCAAAACTCTTTCTGGGCCGTCGCCTCACCACCGAGTTCATGATGAGCCCTGAACGCTGTTCTTAGTACATCTGTTATATGAGATCAGCTTGAGTTTGCCAGGCTTCGAGAAACTCGGTCTTTCTTCTTTACGTGCGTGTTGACAGAGGGCTGTGATATGGTTGGGTGGTTCGTGAAACAAGGCAACTGAGACGGAAGGCCGGGAATTAACATGAAACGGTCACTTAGAGATGAGTGCCGCCGGCCCCGGCCCGGTATGGTCAGATCCGCACCATGGCCGTATGTATGGACCGGATGAGTCTGGGTAAGACGGTCGATCTGGAAAAGCAGCCGCCAAAAGAGGATACAATTGGGGGCCACTCTCGCGCTGAGGGAAAGGTACATACTACTCTCGACAGGACAACATCCGTGATGTGACATTGGGAGTTGACCTGGAATTCATGCAGAAGGGGATCTGTCCCGGCAAGTTTCACCCTCAGGGTCATAATACCGTGCCCCCCCCCCCCCCATTCCCCGACCAAGCCATTAAGCCACTGTCCCGCCGCCGAGTGAGAATTGACCTCCTCGTCGGGTGAGCGGGAGTAATCAAAAGCACGCCTGTGCTGGAAGAGGGCTAGAGTTGCAAACAAATACAGCTGAGATTAGGTCGACTTGAGTCGGGTCTGACGTCGGCACGTGTAAGTGGTAGATCAGCCGGGGATGTCCCAGCAGGTGTCATTAGTTTCACTATGAAGACGACCGTCTGTGTATGCTGCCCGAGAGTACTGGATACACCTTATTTCGGGCCGCTGACTTCGGGAGCAACAACACAAACACCACGGTTCACTTGAAGGCTTTGACTTTGACGTAGGCAGAGCTCTGATACCTTTTAGAGCTATCGTGATTTGTTTTGTCAGCAATTCTGCGTCGTCAAGGAAGGATGCCTAGGAGTGCATTGACGACACTTGTAACCGCCCGTATCAGAGGTCACGCCATGACTCGCAAAGTTTTTCATCTCTTCAAATTGAGAGGCAACCAGGCGGGTCTGACAACGCATCGTATGATAAGATGAATATTCGCGAGTCAACGCTTGTGTCGTCGAAGCAATGAGGCAATGTACCACAGAATCGTTGGAGGTCAGAGTCAACCCAGCCGGTAAAACTTGCCCCGATCCGATGCTTTGTTCTCTCGTCAATGTCTAAGGATGTTATGTGGCCAATTGCCAACCGGGCGCCTGAGATAATAGGCGGGGGGGCTGTGACGCATTTTATGTTGTGGTGATGCGAGGCGCCCGACAAGGGAAGAGGAACGGAAAGCAAATGGGGGAGGGAAAATGTCCAAATGAAATGCAATGCAATGCGCGAGCCACTGACCGCTAGAAAGTAGCACCGCCCGCCCACCTGTCACCTTTGTTTTTGGCCAGCTGCATTGCGACACCGAGGAGGCAAGGTGAAGTGGCTGACGTGGTGGAGGAAGTTATTTTGCCTTGGCCTCCAATCCGGAGAAAAGAGAGGCTCTGGTGCGACTGGTGGTGCAACTCCGTTCACCGCCCCGCTGCCGAGGGCTAGGCGGTAGGTAACTGAGTAGTGTAATGTAATTCACCATCCGTATTATGTACGAATTACATGCGATACACTCCACTACAATCGCGGCTCGGCATGATGCTCATCCTGCCCACTGCCATGCCCGGTGTTTCCGCGATGCTCAAATGCCCTGTTAATTTCTTGTTGATAACGGTTAACTACCGTATCACCGCTCATAGCACATGCGCCTGGCGGCATATTGGGCCTCTACATAGGTAGTAGGAGAAGCACCAGTGCACATCGCGTGCCCCATTCAGCATTTTGTTCCTGGACACAGCTCGCGCCCCGGAGCTGGAACTTGGAACCCGGGATCGCGGTCTCGCAAGTGGGCTGCTTGGCTCGCTAAAAGGCGGCCACCAATCCCATGAATTTCGCGGCTTTCTTGCGGCCCCGCGAGCCACATGGCCGCCTAGGATCCGGATCCGCCCCCTGGAGGTCCAGCCCAAACGGCCATTTGCACCCTCTTCCCCTCCCAACGGAATCGGATGACGAAACAAAGCTGAGTCTTTGTCTCAAAAACTTCGAAGTTTCGTATCTTCTTCTTCCAAAAGACAAGGCAACATCTCGTCGATCTCGAGTGAAGTCGGACGGACCGCTCTTGGTTGCGATGGAAGGCGGTATGCTGCAGGTGGAAATTGCTGCCTATTTGCCGTTTCAAGCGTCGCGGCTGAGGCACCGCTGAGAGGCCAAAGGAAGGGTGCACAATTTGCGAGTGGCAGTTAAACTCACCACGCAGCACAAGCACGGTCACCGAGCTTGCCGACGTCGACCCGGGAGATCGAATCAGGGCCAGCGCGAGTCAAGACAAACCTTGTCTTGTCGAGACGCTGGGACACTAACAAAATCACTCACACGCGCCAACTGGCCATGCTATGCAAACCACCAGCGTCACGGGGGTGATTCCCTCCCCGCCCTAGAGACCCGAACCGGGCCCAGCGCCAATGGCCCGTAACAACGTCAACCATCGCCCTTCGCCCCGCCGAGAGGTTTTCGAGCGAGACAACCTTACGGCGACACAGCGACAAAGCTGAGGGCTTGCGTCCTAGACGCGCCGAAACACGGAGCGTGGGGCAAAGGCTCAAGAAGCGCGCGTGGGATGATTCCCAATCGCCCGGAACAGCCCCTCAACCCCAGTCTGGATCTGGGAGGCATTTCGACATCGGCTGATTCGGGGCTAGCGCTGGGCGACCCTTTCCTCCAGTCGTTGTTGCCTGCCGGGGCGGGCCACCAGCCGCGGCTCCCAATACGGGCTACGTTATGACTGTCGTATCATCGTATGTAACGCTGGAAATTTCCGCATTAATGAGCACCCGCCGGGGAACGGCGGCTTGGTAATTGCGATGTTGCTTCTCACTCGAGCGACCTCCTCGACGGAGCCAGGCAAGCCAGGGCATGGACGGCGCGGAACAGGACTCAGGTTGCTGCGCATAATTTACGTGAGCCGCTTGCGCTCTGCGCTTGCAGCTCTTCATTCAGCGTGCATGTCCAAGCGGGCCAGGGCTGCACTGCTGGCACGCTCTGGTGGACTTTGCTGGTCCAGTGACTCCTGCCCAGTGTTGGTCATGCTTTTTTCTTCCTACAGCCCATCCATTCTCAAACTCCCGTCTCCCACCCTCCATCACCAACCAGCCGACGATGCCGTAGGATACGAGCCGGGTCGCCCACACCGCAGCCAAATCAGGCCCTTTCACCCCACCTCCAAGAAGAACATGTGAGGGAGCGGCCAAGGGAAAGCCAAGGATCAAAATCAATGGTTAGCCAAGCCCAACACCAAGCTTCCGATTTCTGGCGCGATTTGATGTTCGGGGGGTCCGTCGATCGTTCTGCGCGAAGATCACAACGATACTCTCTCAACCCTGGGGGTTTGAGGAGCGGGTCCCGTGCCAAATGCGAGCGTCTTGATCTCGGCATGCCGTCCGGATGAGCCGCCGCACTTTGGTGTGCCCAGCACCAACCGATTCTAAAAATGTGCTGACACAGGATAGTTAATTCTGGAGGATGACAGGTGCTACTGCCGGAGCGTGGCACGCTCACCTCCACACCTCGAAAACTCCCCGTCGTCCAACTGCACTGCACTGCACCGCAAGCCCGCCCACTCGTACAAAGGAAGTACCCCGACCATCGCGATTCCTAAACCCACCAGCCAGAAACGTTTCAAACCGCCGACGGAGGGGGCGGCGGGTTGCGGAATGTTGCCATATGCAACCCTGCCCACCCATGTCTGGCGATTTCCACTCAAGCGAGAGGAAAAGCAGGGCAATGAATCATTCCTCGACAGCACATACTTACACCACATTGTGCTGCGGACGAGGTCTCGTTCCAGCAGGGCCGGCGGAGCCGCAAGGACAAATAAAACTCGATATAAAATCGAAAAAAAAGAGCTAAAAAAGCCTAACGAAAGAAAAAGGAATTACCCGTCGTCCGATTATCGAGACGCGCAAATAGTTAGTTACGGACTAACCAACCTCGAGTCAAGCCGCCAAACAAGCACAAACATCTCGCACCACCACCACCTCGCTACCCGGTCGTACATACTGTGTCGATGCCCAGCGGCGACGTGTGGTGCACCGTGTGTGGCTCTCTTCGCCGTTGACTCTGCCGAGTCTGCTCTTCCCTTGCAGTTGGGTACATTTCGCCCCTCGCGGTCCTCGTTTCCCACATTTGCTTGACCGCTCTGGCAAACCCGAGTCGGACACGGTGAACAGAGTCGAGTCTTAACCCATTTTTTGACCATTGGGCTCGATTCATGTTCCTTTCATGCCGGTTTTTCGCTCTACCCGCTCTTGATTGCCGGCTCTTGAGTACTTGTCTTCCTCTAGGTTTAACTGGATGAGGCACGGAGACTCAACAACAACATAACTGGATACACAAGTGTAGACTGCAGTAGGACCGGGAGGCGCCAGCGAGCGTGGTCTTCTTGCATTTTCCTTCATTGGCCTCGACCGGTCAAGTACTGGTAGACGAGTCTGGAGGCCTGACGGAGGAGAGGAAACAAACAAACAAGCCAACGTTTTCTTCTTTCACACAGTAAGTGCTGAAAGTGACATTAGTCGGTAAGGCGTCACTCTCATAATTTGCCTTCCCCTCGCCCTTCGACCCCAGTGCCCGTCCCGGTACGAAGATCATGTTCCTTACATTGTTACCATACCATCGGTAGGTAACGTTAGCTTACCATACATACACAACATACCGTACGTTTGCCCCATCCAGCCCGCGCCTGATTTCGATTCCAAGGCTCGCCAGGCTCGCCAGGGGACCCGTGGGCGTGCGACCTGAGAAAGAAAAAGTGGGCCAACCCCACCGACCAGCGACGCCAGGAAGGCGGCGTTGCCAGGAACAGGCAGCTTGCCCTTTCGGAGGGAAAGAAGGCGTGGATCTAGCAACCAGCCATGCCTGCCGCTTTTCCCTTTTTTTTCCTTCGTGCTTTCCTGCAGACAGTGTGGTGTGCTGGCGCGAAAATTCTCACCCACACGCGCACACCTTTCATACCACACTGATCCGACTCGACGAGAGTCCCCCCCAAAAGCAGCACCCGACTGCGGACCTGGGCTGACCTGATTGACCGGTCGGTTTTGCCAACCAAGCGTTACGCTGCGCTGCGCTGTGTTGTTGTTGTTGTCCTTGTTGCTGAGCGGGGGGGAACCTGAGGGTCAAGCTGCCCGGGAAACTTGTCGATGAGATTCATGGATGTGTGATGTGGAAGGGGTGCTCCTTCTTTGCTGTGCTAATGCCGCTCCCGCGCTTCATCCCTCGCCCCCAGATGCAACAGTTTGGGAGCAGCGCTCGACCCACACGATGTTCCAGAGGAGCCAGGTGATGGCGGTGGCACACGCCGCTTGGCCTCCCACACACGCCCCCCTGCGAAGGGATGCACCTGGGCATTGCAGAGTGGAGGGATGGAGTGATGTACCCTTTCTTTGGGCGGTCCTTTTTCGACCAGATCCATGGAGGACCACGCTCTGCCACTGCATCACATCCTGGTCACTCTCACTCGCTCTCCTTTTTTTGCCTTCCCTTCCCTCCTTTGAAAGTAATAAGTAATAATCGTCGCCCTCCGCGCATACCACTCGTTTTGGATTTCCTTCTCGCTCCTTCCGTCTGCTACTGTTCTTATTCCGGATATATCTTCCTTATTCCTTATACATACATACATACCTGAGGACTTGATCTCCCTCCTTGTCATTGTTGTTCTTGTCCATACCTGCGGCCGTTTGCGTACAAACTACTCACTGCTGTTGCTGCTTGATCACAACACACCCGCCTCCTGTACCGATATCTACCGACCTGTCGTGTTGTCGACCTGACCTACCGACCGACCGATAGCCATTTCCTCTCAGTTAGTCCAGACCTACCTACCCTGGAGGTCGACTCACCGCCGGCTCGAGGATCGTCACTCACCTGGCCTTCCCACTCAGACACAGACGGACAACAGACAACCCGACGCAGAAACATACATACGCATGCAAATACACAAAGACCCTTTGGCGGTTTCTCGAATCCCTATTTGAACGGGGCATCCTCGTTGCTTTTCAGCTGAAGAGCTTTGTTCGACGCTCCGTGCTACCCTGCTGCGTGCTCCCGTTGGTATTTCCCAAGGAAAGAGCTCAACACACTGGGAATCTCGCAGGTACGTCAACAATTTCCTGCTGCTGCTGCTCGCCGGGAACTTTCCCCTCTCCCACCACCACCATGGTTCTTGTGCAGACGAATACATAACTTCTTCCCACCCTTTCTGCGGTCGGTCCCCGAGGGCTTTGCTCCTCCGGCCACCGGGTTGGTCACGGCTACCGTGCCCCATGCAGCCAGCCGATTTCACGAGACCTCGTCTCCGGGATTGTGTTGCCCACCGCTTTGTTTGCGCCCCCTGCTGTACAGAGGGTTTTCCGCACTGGCCGTCCGAAGTTATTTAGCTTCCGTTTAATTTCCCGTTGAGTTGCTGACCGGAACCTGCTCTCCTTTTAGCTGTGCTTCTCTTTGCCTCTTTATACAGGCTAGCGAACCGAACCTCCCTGCTTCCCACTGCTCTTTCCCTCTCGTCCCTCCGCTTAAGGCCTCTCACGACGAGCGCCGCATCTGATCTCGACCGATCGACCTAAACACTCAGTGGCAGGACACAACAGACAACATGAGCGAACAAGGCGCTGGTGGAGGTATTGACCACCACATGTCGACTCACAGGAAGCAGGATTCAAGAGACGAGCCGATGCCGACAGAGTCCACACCCGAGACGATGCCACAGCCCTCTAAATCAGACTCCGAAGAACTCAAGCCTCTCCCCCAAAACCTCCCCCGGAAGCTCAGTGAGAGCAGGCCGAGCGGACATGGGCGGCTGATCACACCACCACAATCTCTCTCGCGGAATTCCTCTTCCTGCTCAACCTCTTCAAACCCGAGGCCGCAAGCCGAGTATCTTCCAGCACGCACACCGGGGTTAGAGCCGCGGCCACAACCACCTACGTCGCATCCCACACTCCCTGCAAGCCCACAGTTGGAACCACCCGTGACAAAAGCGACGCTGAGCGAACTCGACGTACATAAGATCGTGCATAACCCCAAGCTGCGCCATGACATCAACTTCGACCCTGAGCTCCACTTTCGGCCGAACCTGGACGGTGAGAAGGGGAAAAAGAAGCAAGAGCGGGCGAACCAGTTCTGGAACACATTATTCGACCAGCTGGTAATGTTCGTCACGGATCGGGATTCATTTTATGCAGCCAACGGTCACGGGGATTGGAGTCTACCCGTGCTGCTTCGGGCAATCCGGGACATCATAGAGACATTGGTACCGCAACGCGACCGCGAGTTGCTCAACGAGGGCTTGAATGTGGAGCTGCTCATGCAACAGTTCAACCGGGGTGTGGCCGATCTCGAGAAGTTGGCGTCATGGCTGGCGAGCGTTCTCAAACTGCACTGCGCTCCCATGCGAGACGAGTGGGTGGACGAGATGTACCAAGAGCTCAGCAACGGCAACAGCAACAACGACATGCCGGAGCTCGTCAAGGGAATGCGGAGTCTGCTCAACGTTCTCGAAGCCATGAAGCTGGACGTGGCCAACCACCAGATCCGTTGTCTGCGCCCGGTGCTTATCGAGGATACCGTCCACTTTGAGCAGCGCTGGTTCTTCCGGAAGATGGAGAGTGGCAGGTTGAGCATCGCCCCGTCTCGGAAGTGGTACCGTGACGCCCTGGAATCCGCCGAGCGGCTGTACGCTGGGTCGCCCATGCCGTACCAGCATGCCTTCGGAGAGATGTCGGTGTTCTTCGATGCCCTCTCTCGCCTAGTACTCCCGTCCGCCGGGTCCGAGCTCCCGCCAACGTTTGTCTTCGACGAGGACCGCGTGGCTAAGCTCCGCTCCGACATGTACGACAGCATCTGTCTCGAGGTTTGCATGCGCAAGTTCGAAGAACTGGAGCGCTTGTCGCGAGCCACCCAGATGTGTGTGCCGTCGTATGTCAGCGAGGAGGCCGCTACGACGGGTGCCAACCGGCTATCGGGCGAGTTCAACTTCCAGGCCGCCCACAGCTCTCGCCCTTCAAGTCTTGCCTTCAGTGACGGCAGCTCCAATTTCTCATCTCCACGCAACTCGGGCAGCTTCTTCGGCCAGCCCACCGTTGGAGACGCAGCCGACGCACGGTGCCGGGCCTCAGAGCTCTACAACTCCCTCCTCGCCCTTCTCCACACTGCGCCGCACGTCTGCAATGCTGGCGAGCGGTGGAAGGAACTGTCAGGCTCAATGGCCCTGCAGATCCTGCGTTACGCCAATGCCCCGCCCTCGCTGCCCGGCTTCGAAGCCCAGCTGGCCGCCTGCCTCGACGATGTGCAGGGCGGCCTCTTCCGCGAGGTCGAAGCCCAGTTCCAGCAACGCCTACTCGCTGAGCTAGCCCGCCGCTCCATGGAGTTCAAGAACCTGTCTGGCGTCGCTCTCTTCTCGCATGCTACAGGCGGGCGCTTGGCGGGGTACCCGAGCCGGCTGGACCGGCGTGGTGACCACCACAGCAGCCACAGCCAGAGGGTGACTGGAGGCGGACTCTTCAGCACCGAAGAACCGCGCGAGCCGCGTGAGGATGCCGGCCTCGAAGACATGGCCATGCGGCTGGCCCACCTGGGTGTGCTCCACTGGCGGGTGTGGGCGCCGCTGGCGTATGAGAACGACATCGAGAGCGAGATGGCTGTCGCGCAAAACTCAATGATTTGAGGCTTTCCCCTTTCTCACTTGGGCGGGAAGTGATGGATTCAACAACATCCCGCTCACTTTCTTAACTACAACAAATGCCCCTCGACTACGGGGACCCTACCACCCTCTTTAATCTCTCGGGTTTCTCCCCCACTCTCTTTGTCGGTTTCCTTTACTCTCTCTTCCGCTCTTGGATCGATTATCAAACCATACCCTCTCGTTACTTTACTTTATGCGGCCGAAACTTATCGTACATACCCATATTAATCTTGGTTGCATATTCCTTTTATCATCACGGCCCGGGCTGCATTTTATACTTGGCCTCGTTTGAGTGTCCGGTGATCTCGGGGGGGAGGTTATCTTGTTATCACACCAAATCAGGCCAAACCGGGCAGTGGCAATAGGATACGGCGTTTTTTTTTCCTTTTTGCTTTTCGTCATTGGTTTTCATTTTCTATTTTGTTAAACTGGCTTTCGCAAGAGCACATGCATGGCGTTGTTTTTTCCTACCCTCGTTTTTTGTCGTTTCCCTCCCTTTTATGCAACACCCTTCTACCCGCCCGACCCTGTAGTGGATTCAGGAGAGGGCAGATGGGTCGGGGTAGTGGATATATCAGAATGGAGAGAGGAAGGAGGGCCATGGGCCTGTGACATAAACAAATTGGTCGATAGGAAGGGTGGCTGGATGGGTAGGCAACACTGAATTTGTTTTGTCTCTGTTTTTCTATTACTCGTCTATCCATCTTTGGTTTATTTTTCCTTTTTCTTGGGCGGCGGACTGGCTTGGCTTGGCCTGGGTTGATAAACAAACATAGTGTTTGGGGGTTGTGAGGGGGGAACTGAGTATTACAGGCAGTGTTTTGTGCTTTTGTGGGATGAGGTGAATAAGAACGAGGCCTGTAATCAGAAAACGGGAAACTATACCAAAATTGGGAGGAAGGCTATAGGAAGCAAGTCGGATAGAGCTGAGCAAGCAAAGCAATGGGAAATAGACCGATGGCTTCACTGTACTTTGTTGGTTTGTCCATTTTGCTATGTTTGACTTGTGTATTTGATCATTTGAGTGTACTATGTATGAACATCAGTTGTCTAAGTTTCTCTAGCTCTTCCCTCTATGACCTTACTACTTCTAGCAGCCTACTACACTCTCATCCCCCCGTTCTCCGGCTCTCCTCGTCCTCTCTCCTTTCTTCTCTCTCCCCCTTTCTTTCCTCCCCACCTTCGCGAATCCTGGAGGTTGTCTGATATCCGATATCTGATATCTGACGTCCAAAACATCCATTCCATCCATCCATCACCCACCCAGACATGAGGAGTCAAACAAAAATGGAGCGAGCAAACGTCTGATGTTCTTATCACTCGGCAAGTTGGGTCAGCAGTTGGGGGGAAGGGTAACTAGCTCGTTTACCTTGTGTGTATTTTGCCTCCTGTTTTAAGGTAGGTAGGTAGGTACTCCCGTCCTAGGGTAAGTAGGTAGGTACTTAGGTACTTGGGTAGGTACTTAGGTACGCACTAGGTATGGTTGTGTTTGGCGAGTTGTTCGAATAACGAAGCGATGTTCGTTCATGTCGTGGCGTTTGTGTCATGCTGTGTCGTGTCGTGTCGTGTCTTGGGGACCGTGTCGTGTCTTGGAGCGGAAGGGGGGGTGGGGGTAGATGTTTTCGAGTCAGATTCATATCAAACTTTCCTTATCAAACCTCTTTCAGCTTGGTGTTTGTCCTTGCCATAGTGGATTCTCGAGTTCTCGACTCGCCGGTTCCCCGGTTCCTCGATCGTTTTGGGCCCTTCTTTTGGTGGTTTCCCCGCACCGAAGTTTGTATCTCCGGGAGGTCTGCATGATGGTACGGAGGAGGGGAGCTGCTTGCTTGCTTGCTTGGGGGGGAAAGCTTTGATGCGGTTGAGGGTGGACTGGGGCTGTTTGACTCATGGAGCGGGATCATCCCCGGATTCATGAGGCGAAGAACATTGGAAGCTTGCCGGTGGCAAATGTTTAGGGGGCTTGCCATCGAGATCACGTTGTTCGAGATTGTTCTTTATCGTGCTTTTCGGTTTTAGGTCTTACTATGTACAAGGGAAAAAGTGGTACGATATGTTGGGAACGAACGGTTTGCGGCAACTTCCCACGTGTACTAGTGTACCGGACCTTGTCGGCACATGGTCGGGAAAGGGGGTGGTTCCCAGGGTAACCCTCGTTATTGACTCAAGATTTTATCACTCGAGCGTTCATCACGCTGGTGTCATACCTGGCAAACAAACTCGGACTCTCGAGACAGGCAACCTGATGAGTGGACTATGACCAGGCACGTGCCAGGTAACTTTTCAAGGTGACATGACATGAGAGATACGGCTAGGACATTGCCGAAAAGAGAAGGGAGAGAGAAACTGCTCCACTAGGGTTGGTAAAGGAAGGACACTGATTTAAAGTATTAGAGTAGGTATTGTGAGTAACGTCCTGGCAAGCCTGGTCGGCTGCCAGCCCGATACGGCCCAAGAAAGCAAAAGTGCCGGACCGTATTGGGCCGTATCGGGCTGGCAGCCGACCAGGCTTGCCAGGACGTTCTCGGTTTCATGTCATGGGGAGTTACAAGGTGATAACACCAGTGATACAGGGAATTACTAGGAGGACTGAAATGAAGTGGATGAAAGGCAGTACCGTTTACGAACGAATTGAGAAACCCGTTGTCAATTCCAGTAAGCTGCTCGTCGATGGCTGTGTTGTTTCGCTCTGCCGTGTAAGTGCATTCTCACGAAATCCCACTTTCCCACTTCATTGTTCAGTGTCCGCTGACTTGCAGTCGCATCGCCATGCAGGTACGGGCCGGTCTGGCCGAGGTAACGCTTCCAACCCCGGCATCTAGGCCTGGGGAAGGGGTCATTTTTCTTCCTTCCATGCTCCCCGGTATTCATATTCTGTTCTTAGCAAGCGGGATGGTGAGCTCCTCCGGGTTTGAAACGCGGCTGCGGCGTCTAAATGCTGCGAGTATGTGGCGCGGGAGATTTGTTGGCCATTTTGGGTGGGTTTCCGCCGTTCCGGCTCTTCCAAGAACATTCCGAAGCGAGTGGCTGGGTGAGAAGCTGCAGATGTCAGCCTGGATCGCCGAGTGTTTAGCGATTTGCACGATCGATACGATGGGGCGTACCCGCCGGTGTAGGCAGTACCATCGGTGGTTTTGGGGTGGTGGATGTTATGTGGGCTCGTGGTGTTGAGTGGTTCCTTCGCGTGCGGTAATACCAATCCTGGGTCGAAACGGCCCCCACAAAATTGTACCATACCGTATCCTAAATGCATGGATTGTCAGGAAGCTGTAAAATACCTGACCACCCTCGATTTTCAAGTTTGACCATCGCCTCCCAAGCTTCTGCTGACTGAATTCTGACGTCTCGATGCGTGATCCGTCGTAAACATCCCACAACGCATCGCCACTGGTGTCTCTTGTCCACATTTGGTGAACAAGGTTCAGGTCTCACGACATGCGTCGGACCGGCCGACAGGCGAAGGGAGAGTGAGTGCCGGAGTTACAGGGGGTAGGGTAACGGGGTGGGTGTATCAAAAAGCGGTTCTCCTGCAGCGCGCAGGAACCTCTACCGGCTGGCAAAGAGCAAGCATACCCGACGATGTAGACGAGACGAATAAAGTGAATGTACCTTGCCTATGACTCGGAGTCGTATCATGGCGAACATGGATGGATTCTCAACTTGGGATGCTTTTTTTTTCGCATTGACATGTCGTTGTTTGCCCTACACTGCGCGTGTACCGGTAGTTACTCCAACCTCTAATGTCAAGTTTGTGCGACTACGACAGTGATTCATGAATACCTTGGCACCGATTCTCAAGCCACGAGCCCCCCACTATCGCACGAGGTGTGGTAGCACAAGATCGAGAATCGCAAGCCTAATTCGAACCCCCCAAATCCCCTTTCCCCACGTTTCCCGAGTCAGACAAGCAAACACCACGGTACTTGGGTACCCAAGAGGATGGATGCGCACGTTGTTACCCCGCGATCTCGTCTACCCCTAAACCATGAACTATCCAACCTCAAGCCCACCTCAAGCCCACCTCATTTCCATGCCAAACCCATGAAGTTAACGGTCAAACCCACTTGTTTCCACTACCGTCGTCTCAGATGCCCAAGCAGCCATAGCGGCCGGGCAAACTCGCCGCTCCCCCGGGCCCCTTAACCTGTCAAGCAACGGCTAATGCCGATTTCTTGTGGCCGGTCGACGGTCGAGTTCGGGGATAAACCAGGTTAGAGCCACGAGCTGCACGAAGAGCTCGCTCACTGAAACCCGAGTAATGCGAGCGCACGATCAAACACTCTAGTAAAAGATGGGATGCTTTGATATTAACTAGTCAGGTAGTTTGCTCTCATACATTCGTCCATGCCCGAGCACACACTCAAACACTGTAGTAAAGACGAGATGCTTGACATCAGCTACTCAGTTGGCTTCCTCGCCTACATTTGTCCACGCCCGAGCATACACTCAAGGGCTGTCAGGTAGTACCGTAAAAGATGGGATGCTTGATACCTACTAGTCAGGTAGTTTGCTCACCTACACTTGTCCATGCCTGAGCACGACACTCAACCGCTCAAACTACCAAACAAAAGATGAGATGCTTGATACCAACCAGTCAGGTAGTTTGTTCCTATACATTTGTCGATGCGCGCGCGAGCAACATACCCAATCATTCATACCAGCAAAAGATGAGATGCTTGATATCACAGCATCAGCTAGTCAGGTAGTTTGCTCGCCTCCATCTGTCCATGCGTGAGCAACACCTTGACGCCCAACCCCTCGAACACTAACAGTAAAAGAAAGGATGCTTGATATCAGCTAGTTAGGTAACTACAGGTGTGGTTTGCTCGCCTCCATTGGTCCATGCGCACATCCAGGGCTGAAAGGATCTTCCTTCCAAGCTATTCTACCCAAGATCCCGGGACCCTGAAGAGATTTAACTAATTGTTCGTGCGATGGAGCTATGGATAACGCATTGCGCGTGTAGTATCCACGAACGGGCTTCCAGAAACCTTCTCTCCCTAGCTAGGGCCCAAGCGCCAAAAGCCGTCACATCGCGGTCGTCAGACCGTCATCGATTTGTCTACTATTTTGTCATATTTCCAACAATTCTTTTTTCCCCCAAGGCAAACCGACGCAAAGTCAAACCCGAACCCGGGCACGACGTCCGGAGATAGCCGTAGCGTAGTGCATGCGCGGTATTTTCGTGGGGGGCTCAAGTGCCAACTCAGTCGCTTGCTCCGAAGTCCACGCTCAGCTGGGCGAACTTAGCCCTGTATATAACTTAACAGTAGTGATTGGTGGTGCAACCCCTTTTGTTGCAGGAAATGTCTTGGATTTTCAGCTGGTGTGTCAACGGGAGCAAAACTACCTATGAGAGTGAAATAAATTCAAAAGGGCATGAGTGATATACAGACATGTCGAGGTCTCATGATTTGGGTGTGATTGAGAAAAGCAGGGGATGAAAGCCCCGGTGGCCATGTACTTCAGGTGTTGCTCGACCACACTGAGAAGGGAGACAGGGGTGAGCCTCAGCTCAGCTTTGCCTGCAGCTATCGCATCTCGCAGGTGGTTAACAGCAAAACGATAGAAACAACAACACCAAAAACTCTAAACAAAACAACATATCAAAAGCAAATTCCGCCATTGATTTATGCATGCATGCTAATACTACAATACACACACACACCACACACCCCCTTATATCACACACACCCCAATCATCGCCCCGATCACTCACACACAACATGCAACGAAGGAAACCAAACAAAACAAAAACAAAAGACAGAACCAGAAAAAGGAGATCTCAGCCCAGATACTCCTTCAACTCCTCCGACTCTTCTAGTAGCTGCTTGAATGAAAACGGTGCAAACGGCCACCCGCCAAACTCGGCAAACTTGGAGAACGACTCGACCCAGGCGAGACGCAGCGAGTGAAGCTGAAAAGAAGACCGAGAGTTAGCATCAAGCCTCTTTCTTTCAAGGAAGAAGGGGGAGAGGGAGAGATTGAGTTTGTTAGACGGAAAAATGCAACTCACCATAGCAGAGACACCTTCCATAATAATCAGAATGATACAGCTCAGACAGAAGAAGGCGGCAAACACAATGACCAGGAAGATAGCGCCGCCGATGCCTGAGGTGGCGAGGGCCGGGCCCATGGTCATGGACCACAACACGGCTGAGAGCTGCTGATGGGCAAGCGAGAGAGCCCAGAGACGGAGGTACGAGGCCGTGTGCGAGACACAGTTGAGGCAGAATTCTGGAGGGGCACGAACGCCGGTTAGTTAGTGTTGAGTTACCCATAAGGAAGGGAAGATTAGGTAAAGGGATCAAAGACGTACCGATGGTGTGAATGACCTGGTGAATCATAACCTCGCTAAATTCAAACTCCCCGCCGTGTCCGTCACCATGGTCATCCTCGTCATCATCATGCCCCTGCGCGATCATAGCGACGCCCTCGCCGTCACTATCGACGCTCAACCTCCCGTTTGCACCGCCATTCGCACCATCGTCCTCATCCATGGCGCTGACTCTCGAACGCTCGCCGATCCCGCGATAACCCTTTGCGCGGGCGCGGTTGTGCTCCCAACGCAGATAGAACGGCTTGAGGAACAAGAGAATAGGCACCTGGACGAGGGCGATGAGCAGCAGGGCGACCTGTACGTATTTTTGCCCTCGATACAGGGGTACGTCGATGAAGCCCGGCTGCAGGAACATGTAGATGAGCATGTTGAGCAGTCCCGGCGGTTGCTGCCCGATGGCGAACCAGTCGACGGTCCACTTGTAGATGATGCAGAGCACAAGGTAACCAAAGATGGCCTGGAAGAAGATCATGCCGGGTAGGAAGTTACCCCAGATGTCGATGGGGCGCTTGAAGTGGCGGGCGTTGATATACGAGAAACAGAGCGAGTAGGTCATATGGGCCCAGCCGAGAATAATACTCATCTTCATCTTGTAACTGTTGGTGAAGAGCAAATCGTTCTCCGTCCCGTGCCAGCGCCAGTCGAGACCAAAGGGGTAGCGGTAGTTGGGATCCCGGAGACGGGCGCTGACAGTTTGGCCGGTCTGGAAATCGGGCGGGGCATCCCACTCCCAGGAGCTCTTGAAGAGGGTCATGGACTTGGAGAAGATATCGTTGTAGATAAGACCGGTGTAGATGGAGAAAACGGCCATGACCAGGGCGATGTAACGGCCGTAGTAAACCATGGCGAAGAGCTCAAAGGTGACCTTCTTCAGTGGCTTCTCCCAGTAGATCATGGCGAGCGCGGCGCACAGCATGATGATGGCGTGACCGAGATCACCGAACATGACGGCAAAGAGGAAGGGGAAGGTGACGATGACGGGGATGGCCGGGTTGACTTCCTGGTAGGTGGCGGTGCCGTAGGCGTTGACGATGGTCTGGAAAGCTTCGGTGAACTTGTTCGTCTTGAGGTATGTCGGTGGCTTCTTGTTGGTGCGGATCTCGTTAATGATGGACGGCACCGCGAGACCGGCACGGTTGGTCACATCCTGCAGGGTGGAACGGATGAGTGGCAGATCGTGGGTCGGGCACCAACCCTCGGCGATCAGAGTGCGACGGGCGCGGTCATAGGAGAAGTTGTTGAGTGTGTTGAAGACGGCCTTCTCCTTGCCGACTAGTACCATCCAGGCGGACAGGGAACGCGAGATCTGGGCGAGTTCGGCCTCGAGGGTCTGCTGGGTGTTGCGCAGAACGCTCTGGACGTCGTTCAGACGGGCGTTGACCTCATGCACCTGGTCCCGGCGCAGATCGCTGTTCTCGTCCACGTTGTACACCTCGGCGCTCATGGACTCGGAGATCTTTCGGATCTTGGCCAGGATCTCCTTGCCGTGGGCAAAGATGACAAACACGTTCTTCTGGACAGGCTCGTTGGTCGCCGGGTCGATGAGCGGTTCGGGGATCTCGGCCTGGTTCATGTACAGGTTGCCACGCAGCGTGCGCCACAAGATGCGCTCAAAGGCAGCTACACGATCCCGGGCAATGACACCGGCAACGAAGCCAATGTTCATGCCGGAGAACGAGCGCTCGACCTCCGGGGCCGATATGTGGTGTTCGATGTCCTGCAGCAGCGGAGCGTCGTCATCTTCAGTAGAAGCGCGAATCTCCTCGACGTTGCCGTGGGCGCGATCGAAGAAGCCGCCGGCTTCGCGGAGGACCCAGCGCCATTCTGTCAACTCGACCTCGCGCTTCTTGAGCGTTTCGTAGCTCTCGTTAAGTGAAGACACGCGCTGCTCAAGGCTCTGACTCCGTTCGGCGAGCTCGTCGATCTCGGTGGTCGTGGGCGGGGCAAGGGTGTCGACATCCAGATCCAGCTTACGGAGCGAGACGCCGGCCTTTTCCATCTGGGCGTGGAAGTAACCTAGGTGCGAAGACTTTGGTTAGCGAGAAGTACCAGGGTGGCTGGGTGGATGATACGATGTGGTCATAATGGCGTAACATACGGAGTTGACGCTCAACATTGTCGAGACGGCGGATGTCCTGTGTAAAGGCGCGCTGGAAGGCACTAAGATCCCCATTGAGATCACGGAACTGCACCAGGCCGAGTTCACCGAGGGCGTTGACGACTTCGCGGCCGATTTCATTGGAGATGTAGAGCTGGACCATGCTCATGTCCGCCGAGCGGAACGGTGTGTCCCGTGCCGGAGCCATCGCGTCAGTTGGGCGGGGGCGATGACCACGGCGATTGCGGGCGTAATGATGGGGGTGATGGGGGGAGAGAGTTGACGTTGGCGGTCGGTGATGGTGTTGATGGGAGGATTGAAGCCAACCAACCAACTCCCAAACGGCGTTAGAGGTCGAGGTCGGTGGAGCTGGTCGGCTGACAGCCCGCTCACTGCCTTGTTTGAGCCGCGCGTCGGCAAAGCTCTGGCAGCTGGCTGGCGGGTGCCAAGAATTCAGAGGTGCGAGATCTAATTCGCACTGTGACATACACTGTACCCTTATACGTCAACTTGCATTGCTGCAGCTGTTCGTCCCCAAAAATTTAAGGTCTAGACAAGTGACAGCCCTCTACTGCGTGGCTCAATCCCGTGGGGGTTTGTATAATTTAGGAAAATCTGATCTTAGACGCACTTGAGAGCCCTTGCAAGTGTGTGTGTTTTTGACCTCCGTTTTCTCTTAAGATGGACAGCGTCCGTGTCATTCACTGCGATGCAACTTGTTAGGTAACCTTACACTTCCAATACTCCTCGCATAGTTACTTAAGGAAGCGAAGACTGATTGAAGACGATACGTAAGCAAATAGACCTACCATTCATTCTTCAAACTTTACCACGGTTCCCCTTGCAAATTTACCTGTGCCAATCACCTCGCCCCATAAAGCGGCGCTGCTGAATCGACCAACATCTAAGCTCTCCGACCCGTGCCGCGGCCGCTTCCACACTCAAAGGCACACCATTCCTTCGACCACCTTCCCGTCTTCTTCTCTCCGCCTCTGTTTTCTTCACTGCCACCGTTGACGGTCAGCTTGATCATAAACTCCATCATCGAATCACCTACCGAGGACTGCGCATCATGGCGGACAGCAACGAATCCCCTGTGAGCCAGACAACCACTGCCGATACCACCAAAAAGTCCCGCAGCGAAATCCTCGCCATGATCCGAGCCTCTCGGGAGAAAGGAGTCACCTCACCAAGTAAGTCGGCCCACTAGATGCCTTTCTTCCCCTTCCTCCATCTCAATCTCACCGCTACGGCCTACCACTAACACAGGATCCTCTGTACTCATAGACCTCCCTCCTGCCCAGCCGGGCGTCTCCGCACATGTGGCTGCGCAAGCCTTGCTTGAGATTGATGAGGAAAGGTTGCGCGAGGAGTTGCAGAACCCGGATTTGACAGAGGAGGAGCGGGTGCAGGTGTTTAAGCAATTGAGGTATGTATGCACCTACTTAGTCGGCGATAAAACACCTCGAGATACCCCTTCATCCCTTTTCTATAAGTTGCGGGTAAGGTTTGAGTTTCAGGGCGCTGACCAGTCCAAACACAGGGGAATCGAAAGCTCTCGGATCTGGCATGAGTTCCAGGAGAAGGTCACTAATTCTCTCACGGTCGGGGCTGCTGAGGAGGACTCGAGCTCAAAGTCGGAAGATGGTAAGAAGGGAGAGGAGTAATTGGCTTATGGCGAGGATGTCGAAGTCTTGGAATAGACTGGTTTAGCTGTCGTTTATTGGCATCAAACGGTGAGAAGAAGAGATAAGCTAGAGAGGGTTTAGGCTGGTTCCTGAACGTACCGAGGCTCATGCTTCTTGTTCTGTTGTTACTTTGTATCCTACATACTCGCGTATTCTCATATATTACCTGTCGTTTTCTGCATCGTTGTATTGTTTCCTTTTCTCACCGGCGTTTTGCCCCTCCCTTAACGCGATAAATCTCACCATTAAAAAAAAGATATAAATTCAGAGAACGACTTCAAGTTCATACCTACTCAAGTATCTCCAACTCCGTCCCTCCAAAACCGCTAGCCCAGACAACAACTACTCCCACATATCTATCTCATGCACAGTACATTCGCTATCTTACACATCCAAAACAGGCATGCTCACCAACCAGTAAGAGAAAAGTCGATCAATCCCCAACTCCCTCGCTCGGTACGTACCTGCGTTGAAGCGTGGGGGTTGCACGCAGCACACCCGCATTCCGTAATCTCGATGACCTCTCGTCTCCCCCCCTTACGGCATAATGCATTCCAGGTCCCCTTATCTCCAACGGAACGCGCCCGCGCCAAGTTCCCATGGCCAGCCACTTTTCTATCTTGAGAAATGTCACAACGCATTTATAATTGGAGGAAGTCCCCCTCGGTTGAGTTCATGCCTTTCTCTTTTTCTTCCCTTTTTTGAGGTTTGTTTGACATGGGACATTTGAGTCTTGGTGCTCGAGATAAGCCGAGCCCATGCATGAACTTCACTTGGAGCGAATAAGCCGACAATGCCCGCACACCAGCCTACCTTTCTTAACACAATGCACTCACGATCAACAAAACAACTCGTTCACGGTGCCTGCCAGTTTCCCTGAAAGGATTTTCTTATTTTCAGCTCAAGACACTGAAGCCAATTAACAATCTCACTCCCCTCAATAATCAAACAATTTACCAAATCATCCCACCAACTCCTCGTCTTCATTCTCATCCGCGTCATGTCTCGCATCGCCGTGTCTTCTAGTACAAACTCAGACGATATGTCCCTTTTCCGTTGCCCTCTCTCCCGCACAACTAGGCCTGCGCCGGTATTTCCTTGGGCCACCCGTTTTCACCTATTGCCCATCCCCCATTTTGAATCCCAGACCTCTTTTTTTGTTGGGTTCCATGATAAAATAGGTATATCCCCCGCGCCTTTTTCAACTCCTTCCTGGAAGTAGCCGAAAGCAAACTCCGTGCAAATGCAAAATGCAGCAGACGCGAGGATCATCGCCGGAATAATAAAGGCAGGAAAAAAATAGGGCAACATACACAGAACAAAATAGCAGGTTCCGCAGAAGATGACGCCAATCACCACTCCGTCATCGCCGACCGACTAAGTCAAAAACGCCCCCCTCCCCCCCCCCAAAGAGCAAATACAGCCCCGTTCGCTTTGCCATGGTATCAAAAAACCCCGGACGACAACGAACCGCGCAGTATAGAAGAAAGAACAACGCCGGATGCAGAGAAAAACAAGAGGGAATAGAGTAGCAGGAGATAGGTATGGGAAGAAGGAAAAAGAAGCTTAAAGCTTCCGCGAAAACATAAAGTTACCATACATACCGCCCACCTCGGCATGCGCAACGGGAATCTTCCGCATACCCCACGACTCGGCGCCCATCTTCCAGGTGCGCCGGCCATCGTCCCGCGGCACGTTAACAATCGCACCAGCGTTGGGGTTGGTAACCTTGGCGGGCTGTCTCACGAGCCACCCACGGCTTCCACACTCGGAAAGCCGCCAGCCGATACGCTGCAGCGCAGTCGATGACTTGCTGACGCGCCGGCAGACGTCCTCGGCTAACTCGATCACCTCGAGCGGCTCAGAGAACGGCCGCAGCAACACACACGCGTTGCCAAACAGGTAAACCAGGTCGATATCCTGGCCCCAAAAGTCCGACAGGTCAATGTACCGGAGCGTGTGTGGCACCCACTCGGCCTGTACGACCGGATCGGCATCCTCGTCCGGCACGAACAACCGGTTGATGTCCCGCATCGTCAGCGAGCGCCCGACTGCAAGCTCCTCGAGGTGCTTCGTCAAGGGCCGCAGCAGATCAATGTGTGCAGCAGTCATCTTGCTCCCCTTCAGGTTCAGCGACTTCAGCGTCCCCGGGAGGATGTGGAGAAGCTCGGTCACGTTCTCGGGATCGAAGGTCTGATGGCTGCGGGCATCGGCCGCTAGGCTCAGGAACCGGAGCTCCTTGACGGCAGGATGGTTCGCCAGAAAATCGATCACGTTGCGAGCCGTTAGCAACGTGCACTTGGTGATATTCAAGTGCGTAATGCGCGCCGTGGGTGGGATCGAGGCCAGTGCCGCGTCTGTTATACGCGTGCCGGCGACATCAAGGTGCGTGAGTCGGGATAGCCGTGGCAGGATTGCCTCGAAGACCGACGATGGTAGCGTCAGGCACTTATGGAGAGACAATCGCTGCACTGTCAGCTCATTCGGCCAGTTGGGCGAGATGATGTTGGTAAAGGCTTCCTTGAAGGATGCCGAGGTGCAACCGCAAAAGTCGATCGCTTTCAACTGGGGAAGTCCGAGGAAAAGCTTCTGCAGCACAGCCCCATCGAGATCCTCATCGATATACTCCTGGCCTAGGAACTCTTGCAAATGAGGGGTCAGTTCTAGGCACTGGAGGAGGGTCTCAGACGTGAGGTTACGCGCTTTGGAGCGCTCGGCAGCTGTCAAGAACAGCTGCGAGGGGTTGAAGTGGCAGAAGTCGAGCCGGCGCACAATCGTGCCCAGGTTTGGGTGGACAGAGATGTGAGCGAGGAACTTTTGGAAGATCCGTGAGTGGGGGATCGTGATTCTGCTGTATAGGGTGCTGAGGGTGGCCACGTGCAACGTCCTAGACGTCAGCAGCAACGACATCAAATCGATATTGCGTCTCGTGAGGCCATTGGGGGGCACATCGAGAGCGAGGAGATTGATGATGGCACCTGGCGGGGTTGTTAATAAGGGGGCTCTCAACGAGCGCAGGGACACAAAAACAGGGCTGACTTACTCAAGATCTCGGTGGGTAGTCGCTCGATGATAGCTTCGCCGGGTCTGTTCTGGCCGCGCTTAGTCGGGCGTGAAGGGGGATGGCTAAAGACCTGGTTCAAGACCTGAAGATCACCAAAACTCTTGCTCGCGAGCTTGCCCTTCACCTGGATGCCCTTCCATCCCTGAAAACTATCCGCCGGAGTCCAGTAACCAAGGAGCCTGCTGCTGGGGTTCGTGACAGGAGGCTGGAACTGGGTCTGGATCATGTTGAGCGCCCGGGCTGAGGTAGTGGACGACGAGCCGGGGGTGAGGGGAGGGCTGTTATTGGCAGTGGTGGTACAGTCGATGGCCTCTTCGGAGTCGGCACCGAAGTAGGACGAGATCTTGGATTGAGTGAAGGATTGCGGTAGGATGTTGTCGTGTTCGCGGATGGAGGAAAAAGAAGAGCGAGAGACCCGGTCCGGGGTGGAAGGCCGGGAGTGGTCGTCGGATGCCATGGCTTTGTAGTCCGGCGAGTCCCGGAGAGGTTGCAGACGGCCTGCCTGTAGTCTTGGCTTCGAGACCGCCATCAGGGGGGAAGAGAGGGGAGGGGATGAGGAGGGGGGGGGGTTCGCCGGAGATGTGCTGGCTCAATGGACAGGGGCTTGGCGTGTGTGGCTCCCCCAGACGAGAACGAGCAAGGCGGTCAGGTGCACGATGCGGCGATGCTCCAGTGAAATGGCGCTGAATAGGCGACAGGCTGGCCGGAAAGGAAGGAGGAGGACACGGGCAGTAATGGGGTCCGTGATTTTTTTCGTCGCGATGCGGAGCCTGGGCCCTTGTCGAAATTTGGGTGGGCGAGGCCCAGGCAATGGTCCGGGTCTCACAAAGGACCCGGAAGGAAGGCGGATGGCACCGGCGATTTTCTATTAGTCAAGGGGCCAGCTTGTTAGGTAACAGCAAGCCTCGCAGCAACTCCCTGGTGCGGGGAAGCTGCGAGCTCTGGCAGTTCGGATCCGCAAATGGGCGTTTGAGTATCCCTGGGCTCACGATGCGCTGCGTCGCTTTTCGATGGTTGGTGCGGCGGATTGAAGAGAAACCGACCGGACCTGGGTGGGAATGGTGAGAAGGTCCTGCAGGGGTTGTGGCCTCGTGTTGTTGCGACTTCAGTACGGAATGCTCGTTCGTGGCTGGAAGACGGTCTCGGTCAGCGGGCGCCACTGGAATTCGGGGATTCGAATATCGAAATCGGTTCGAAGAACGGCGAAATGTTCTGCGGAGGATAAATGCTGAAGTTCCGGGATGTCGAATGGACAATGGACTCGCGGCAAGAAGACCGACGGTTTAATACTCAGTATAGGGTTCGTAAGGTTTGTAGTAAGTCGGGTCGGGACTTTTATGCGGGCATTGGATTTAAGTACATACGTCAGGCGCGGTCCAGGCCGAGGAACCTTACGGAAAAAAAAACCAGTCACAAGCCCTCACAATCCCTAAAGAACACAGCCCGCTCCTGGGGAAAACGGCTTTGACAGGCCCGGGTTGGATTGGGCAAAGCCTTTTTTGTTCTGACAGCAGTGGTGCTAAGAAAACGCCCGGCTGGCCGCCTCCGCGAAGACCGTACAATCCGGCTCGCCAATACAGCATACTTTTGCAGCTCAAACACTGGGCAAAGTGGGAATATCCTAGTCTGGAGATGGAGCATCCCGTGGCCGGAGCGGAGGCCACTCAGGCTCTCAGGGTCCGCCCGCTCGTAAATTTTTGCCTCGCACAGCCAATTACGGGTCGCACTTGCGCTCTTGCTACTGCTCCTTCCGCTGTGGTTGTTTGAAGCCAATGCGGAGAGGGCAATCAAGAAAAGCTGGACCTGTTGTGTGTCGTGTCCGATTTCCTCGGATGTGTCTGCCACGCAACAGTTGACCACCAAAAAAGCAGGAACGCGCGAAGCCGCGAAGAATTGACGAATTCGAATGCTTGGTTCGATTGGCCCGGGCCAGCCGTTTTGAATGGGACCCTTGCCACTCTGCCACCTTGTTCAACGCAACCGCGCTTCAGCCGAGCTTTCCCATGACACGCCATCGCATCATGCTGCATGGTGGAGGGTGAGCCACAGCAAAAGCTTCGAGGTACGTAATGGTTTGAACATCTCCACCACCAACGTCCTTTCTCAAAGGTTGCAACAACGGAGATGCAAAAATTCCTGCCTTTTCGATCCCCGGCGGCTGTTGGGGTGTCACATCGACGAACAACCGCACGCGCGATTACTCGCCGCTTCCTCTCCATTTCTGGACGCAAACTCCTCTCCTCCTCGCTGGGGATCACCAACCGGCGCATTTCATCGTTGCCCGTTGCTTGATCGTCTCTCGCGAAGCTGCAGAGTTCCAGGGCAGCGTGACGTTGGCCGAGGCCCTTGATAGGCTACCAACTGTTTATCTTACCTAATCACTCAACCGCACCTCGTTCCGTCTCGGTGTTTGATGTGCCCTTCAAACAGAATTCGACAACCAAGTCTGACTCAACGGTCAGTTGGAAAGACTTGTTCCCCAGCTAATTGGTGATTGTGCAACATCGCCAAGGGGGAGCGATTTCTCGGGTTTGTCCGGGCAGCCATTGCCCGAGTCTTGCGTCTTGCACTGCCCATCGGGCATGTTCTCGCATCCCGCGGCTAGCAGCTGAGCTCAACAATTCGGTGACTCCCTTGTTCCTCGAGTCGGCGCTGGTATTGTCGTCTCCCAAGCCAAGCCAAGGCGAGTTATCAACCAGCAGAATCCAGCTCGTTGTCGGTAAACGGGTTCACGTGGTGTCTGATCACCTGAGCCATTGGCGGCCGGCCGATCCGCCCCCGAGCCGCCTCCGAGACGCCCATGCGGCCGCAGGGTCGACAAGTCTGGGGAGCCGCTTGCAGCCGCTTTTCGCTCGCGAACCCTGCCCCCTGCTTTTTGGACCTCTTACCCTTGCATTTGTTTTCCCTTTTGAGCTGGCTTCTTCTGGGCGTATCCCAGCATTTCTGAACCCGCAGATCAAGGCGGCCAATCCGGGGCTGACGTTTCATCAGGTTCCGCCCGGAAACGGCAGCTCAGTGCCCCGATCTCCGGCGCCGGCCTGGACCGTCAAAAGTTTATCTGATCATTTTCAAAAGGCTGAAGAGACTCATACTGAACTGCCAGGGCAAGGAGCGAGAAAAATACTGTTTGGGAATATGCTCAGAACAAAGTTTCGGCATTTTCAAAACTGTTCAGTCTCTCCCCTCCGCAAGCGAGCGCTGCGGAGACTGCAACGTGGTATTCCCGTCACTGGGGCTCACATGATCACTTTGCTCTCCCCTCTGGCCTGTCACCTCACCAGCGCAGCCCTTCCCGTCTTCTCCCGCTTGTTGCTGATCCCGTCTAGCCAGCTTGGGCGGCAAACAAAAAAAAGGTTTCTCTTGGTGGTGCCAAGTCCGACGAGCGAGCCCAGACAGAACCCCTTGTCGAAGATCCCCATTTGACATCAGAAATCCTCTCCATCCAGGCCGCATCGCGAGAGTCTGCCAAGAATTTCACAAGCTTGAGAGGTCGAATAACTTCTGAAAACGGCGGGTGAGGGAAAGACATCGCCAAGCAATGAATTGACGGCCTCCCATAGGTGCCCAGTCACTGCCACAAATGCGACCGCTTGCATTTTCCGTCCACCCCAAAACGAAAGAAAAAGAAAAAGTACACTGCAGGCTGTCTGCTGCTCCCTGCAACCTGCAAGTAGACAGCTGCTGCAGATGCAAGGTAACCCCACCACGACGACACGACCACAAACCCAAAGTGGTTCATGCTCCTCGAACAGCCGAGGACGGGGGACGGGACGGGAAGGGAATCCACCGAGAGGGAACTGAGACCGGCCGAGTTTCCCAACATGCTCATATATTATAGATAGCACACGGCGACGAACAAAAACAAGGCCACTGCACGCACAGATCCAACTTGTACCACCCACCACGGGCAAAGCTTCCTTCATTTTCACAGCAACAGCAGTCGAGCACAATAGCAAACGGCAAACAACGAGGGGCTTTGCAGGAATCACGTCAAGATGAGGGGCTTTTAACAAACGATTGCATCCATGGAAAAAGGGTCTTTCTCATCGATCGACCACCAAAGCAACCAACCAGCCCAAGCAAACCAAGGAACCAACCCCAACCAACAACACCCGACCGAGCACTTCGCTCTCCGTCCCGTTTGTTCTGTTCGTCCTTGGGTCGAAAACCAACGAATTCACCCATACGTACATCCATCCATCCGTCCTAAGAAATTTTACACAATTGCTTCTCCCTGTGGGGTGTTCATCCATGCCATGCCATGCCAGCTTGATAATATGTATGTGGGGTGAGAACTTTACAACGCGAACCATTGAGTCGTTGGGAAAATTCACCAACCCGAAGAAACACCGATGAAATGCCGGCGCCAAAGGAAATATCAAGACAGGGAAGAAGGAAAAAAAAGACCCATAACCCTAGGGACGGGGACAGGAGGTCCGAGTCCCTCAGACCAAGTCGAGTTGATTAGCACCATCATGGGCCACCTACTCGACTAATTCAGTCTTCACCCCTTGTCCCCCCGTACAATGCAAAGACATGCTTTTAAACAAGTATTCATCGCTGTGCCCTAATGTCCCGTCTCCCTCCATGCCTATCACTTTTCCGCAGCCGCAAAAATGCAGAATAAACGGGATAAGAACAGACAACGAGCCGAATGATGCCCCGCTAGGGATGATGCGGAGGAACATAGCACACAAAGAAAGGCTGAAGGTCGGGATACAAATAAATCCCTGTAGGACGGCGGGCGGGTTCACCTCCGCTCGGGAATCTTCAACCTCTTCTTGCAGTCCTCACAGTACCATTTCGCTGGACATAAAAAGTCAGTATTCGCCAGCAATTCACACAAGAACCAACAGCAAGCACCCTGACGCCTCGGCAGGGACAGAAAAGGGAGCGGGGGAAGCAACAACTTACCATTCCCCTTAGGCGCGACCTTCAACCCAACACACTCCAAATGGAACCACTCCCGCGGACACCCATCTCCATCACACGCCACCATCTCTCCATAACTCCCCTGGTTGCAGAAGCAATAGACATCTTCATCCGCGACATCCTGGACGTCCTCGTCTTCGTCGTCCTCTTCTACCCCCGCACCGCCGCCGTTCTTGTTCCCGGTATTCCCGTTGGTGCCGCTGCCGTTCCGGTTTTCGGCGTTGTCACTTTGAAGATCGCCGGTGCCTTCCATGTCGTGGTCGTGGATGCCGTCAGGGGTCTTAGCGTTGCCCTTGGCCTTGTTGACTCGTCTAGAGGCGAGGCCGTTGGGTCGATCGGAGGTGGGAGAGGCACGGGTAGTCTGAGCGTGAGTGCCGCCAGCGCGGGCTGAAGCACCACCACTTGCGTGGGAGGCCGCGGTCCCCGCACCGGTCTTGTCTTTTCGGCCAGTGGTGTTCCCGCTTCCGCCGCTGGCGGCTGGGACGACGGTACCGCCAGATGACGCGGCGTCTTTATCATGCGACCGTGCTCTGTCCTTGCCAGCGGTAATGCCCAGACCTGTAGCCGAGGAACCGTGAGGAGCTGTGTTTGAGTTGGCGGTTTGCGCGAGGACGGCCGCGGAGGCCGCGGAGATGGAGGCACCTTTCTTGTGACTTCGTTTTGTGGTCGTGCCAGCCGTTGTGCTCGCGTTGTTGGCGGCAGCAGAGTTGGGACCAACTGCAGAGCCCGTAGCACCGTCAGCGGCGTTCCGCGAAGGACGAGAGCGGGTGGTATTGTTACCTGGCCCTGCTTCAGCGAATGTTGCCGCTGCAGGAGTAGAGGGCTTGCTTGCGCGGCCGCTCTTAGATTTGGCCATGGCTGGTGCAGTCGGCTGAACGCTGAGGGGCACTGTCTCCTTTGGTCCACTTGTTTCGTCGTTCGAATTCGCCGCGGAGGTCTCTTTGCCGCCGTTCTGTGCGGACTCCAACACGGGCTGCGCTTCGTCAATCTCCATCTTGAGGAGCCCTGCCCGGCTTGCCGTGGTTGGAGCGGTTTCCTTTAGACTCTTCCCATCCGCGGCAGTCTTCGTCCCGTTGCTTGCCTGCCCCAGATCCGGGGTGCCCAGTACATTCCCGTTAGGTTTGCTGGACGCTACCGACGACCGCCGCTGACGCGGATTGTCCATGTTCGAGTGTGTGGAGTTCTGGCGCGCGCGGGAGGAGGCCGGTCTAGGGGCCGCGACCGATGGGGCTGGAGAGCCTTTCCGCATAGGGTCGGGGAATGTTCCGATGACAGGGGAGGACGTGACGGACGGCGACATGGCGGCCGTAGTCCTGCTGTGTCTGTGTTAGTGAATTTTGCAATTCCTTGATAGTTCGAGTCAAGAAGGTGGTTAGCCAATGGGACTCACCTCTTCTTCGCCTGGCCGCTGGACGTGGGAAGCGCCTTGCGCTTCTTGCTCCCGCCCTCAGGGGCCGGTGTTTCCCGAGGACTGGTAGTCCCCCGCTTCGCAGCATTTGCACCAAACACCGTCCCCATTGCGCGCTCCGCAGCTGCTCCGTTGGCTTTCGCCTCGACCTTACGCCGCTTAGCTGGTGCGCTACTCCCAGAAGCACCGGGCGCGATTCCCAAACCAACTGGGCCAGAGTCAGGAAGTGGTTTCCTCGACTTGCCCTGCGTCTTCTTTCCCGTCTCATGTGCTTTCTCAGCCTCGGCTTCTGCTGCCGCCTGGTTCTTTGCATTTTTCTTGGCGGCAATGGCCTGCTTTCTGTCGTTGCTACGAGCAGCGGCCTCTTCAGCCAGCGCTTGGGCAGCGGCGGAGAGCGTAGCAGCGCCTTCGCGACGAGACCTCTCTGCCTGCTTATCGTTGGCCTTGGCCTGTCTGTTCTCCACGTATGCCCAGTGCGTCGTGCTGCCCCATTTGGCTTCGTCACTGAACTCCGTCTGGAGGTGCGGCCAGATGTCGTCGATGCGGGACAGCTGCTTTTGCAAAGCGTCATTGGCAGTAGCAATGACATGGTTCTTTTCCTCTAGCGACACGAGCATCTCTTGTATTTTCAGTGCGGTGTCGCGGAATGTGGTTCGGCGCGGGAGGTTGGAGGGGTCGAACACGCTGGTGGCCGAGCCCTCGGAGGGGGGTGCCACCGGAGGATTGGCAGTTGTGGAAGCGTTCGGGAGCGCAGCGACAGATGCGGTGGTGGTGCTCGAGGTATCGTTGTTGAGCAGTCTGGAAAAGTCGGCCGCGGGCGTGTCGAGAGTGTCGTGAAGGAGGTCGAGGAGAGCGGCTTCGGGAGCGAAGATCTTGGCGTCAACCTCTTTTAGGAGCGTAAAATGACGGACCAGCTCCTTAGGCAGGGCCGTAATCGCATCGGTGAAGTGCGTAACACCCGGCAGAATGTTGATGGGCTGCTCTGGGGCCGGGGCGCCCGCCAGCGAGTTGGCGCGATTGAGCGACGAGGTGCGCGGCGGGTTGACTCGCGTCTGGCGCACTGGCTGTCGTCGACTCGTCCCGGCCGCGCCCTCGGGCGCTGCTGGTTTTGCCGTTCTCATTTCTGCGAAAAAAATGCAGATTCTGTCTCTATGATGCTGTATTGAGGTCAGGCCCGCCGAATATTCGTGGACTTTTGGCGGCGTGTAGTCGAAAAGGCGGAGCGGAGGGGGGAAGAAGAGCTGAGGACTTGAAGAGGAAGAAAAGGTGACAAAAGGCTGGGTCGTGGGATCTCCCAGCGGCCCAGAAGCTGGCGTCGGCGAGAATCCGACAAATATATTTGTCGACAGCAATGTAGAATGCTAGGGCATGCCTCCAGAGTTCCGGCATGCGGGGGTTCGAACTTGTTCGTGTGTTTTGCGTGATCAGAGCAAAAAGGAAAAAGGGTGCATCTCGAAGCGCGGGATCTTTCCCTCTACGGCGGCCACTAGCCAGCCCGGCACAGCAGCAGCAAGCACCGCCCAGCGGCTTTCTGCCGGTTGTGGGGATCATTACTGTGGAGCCAGCAAGAACGTCGCGCTCTGATACGTCACCGCAGCTTGATGACGATAAGATAAGGACCAGGGGCACGAGGCCGAGTGAAGCACATGAATGGGATATGCGCCCGTCGTCCGTTTGCAGTCCTTGTTTTTCCTTCCCGAATATTCCCCCCGCGCCTTGGTCCATCCCTCTTTTGGGGACATTCTAGCAGGAACAGACTTGTATAATCCCCTAGCCATGAGGCTCTTTGAAACTAAAAAAGAAATAGGACCGGAAGTCTCTAGCTAGAGTAACAGGCTGTAATAAAATGTATTGAAGCATCATGTAGATGACAACGAAATGATAGCCAGACGCTACGCTGCCCAAACGCCTTGCCTCTGGGTCTGCCTGTGAGTGTCTATCCCGATGGTACACGCAAATCCGAACCTAAAGAAAACAATTATCCATCCTCCTCCGCCCACACACTTTGAGAAACATCATGCTTGCTTCGCTCGCCTCCGCGGTCGCTCATCCCGAGCCTTCTGTTTTTGTCTCCACTGCCACTCGACGAGGACGGGGAGGAAGCTCCAGAGATCAAACTCGGGCCAAAAGCACTTGAGAAAGAAGATGTGCGTGTCCTGGTGGCACTGCCACAGCATAAAGTCGCTGAGACGCACCACACCACTAGTCCGCACGAAGATATCCAGCGGCGGACAATCGGCCGTGTACATGTGGCGATCGATGGTCTCGGACGTGATGGTTTCCGCATTGGGGTATATGGCCACCGATTCCTGGCCCTCCGCACCGGTCCTGTCGGCCGCCGAATCGGAGTGCAGTGTGGTCGCGGTCGAAACGGCGTCATCTTGGTCGTCGGATTTGATTGACGACGGCGCGGATGACGGCGGGGGTAGTTCGCTGATGGGTTCGAGGTCGGGTTTTCCCGACTGCTTGGACAGGATCTTCTGTGTTATCCTGCTCTGGGAGAATGGCGTGCTGTGCGGTCGGGGGGTGGCCGAGTACTCCTCGACGGTGGATCGGATCGCCGAGGTCATCTCTTCTCTCGACGCATATGGGAAGCAGATGTTTAGGATGCAACTGGTACCATTCGTGTTAGCAGATTAGGCCTCATTATGCCCATTTTCAAAACGCAGTACGCACTCCGTGTTATGCGCCGTGGCGGCCACCGCCTTCTCCACCACCTTGTAGACATCTGGGGGGATAAGCTCCAGCGCCCCGATCACCTTGATGCGCGCGCCGTATCGGTCGAGGAGCTCTCCGTGGCGAATCAGTTGTTCTAGTTTGAGCTTGGCAAGCTCCATAAGCCCATCAACCTCATATTTGGGACGGTTGAAGTTTTCGAGACTGAAGGCGTATACTGTGACGACCTTGACACCCGTCTTGTAGCAGACCTCCAGCACCTACGCAAGTTAGACCGTCGGATCACATGCCGAGAAAAGAAACGGTGCAGAGACGCAGGATGGAGTCCAGACGTACCCTGGCCAAGGCTTCAAACCCAAGATGGTGTCCCTCGATCGTCTCAATCTTGTGGTTCCGCGCAAACCGCCGGTTGCCGTCCATCTCGAAAGCGACGTGGCGCGGGATTGGGCCCTGTGAGAGGGCGCCGATAACGGTCGAGCGCATACGACTGAGTGCCCATTCTGCTGGGGGCGAGCTCATAAACCAGCTGCGGATACGGGAGAGGTATAGGTCGGAGGACATGTTGGCGGGTTTGTGGTGTGAACGTGTTCTATCTGTATCAAGTTCTTTTGTTCGGACGGGACGAGAGCAAGAGGCGCGGGAACAACCGGAGGATCCGGAGCTATTAGGTGCGCGTTGGTAGTTGGAAAAGAATAAAATGGGTTGGCTCAGTTAGCCGCCATTCCGAATTGCATCCAGGCATGCAGAAACAAAGAGGGAAAACACTGGAAGGTATCCTCGGATCTCAGGACAAAACGATGGGTTTTCGAAGGATGAGATCGAGGTGGTCAGCCAAGGAGCAGAATTGTGGCTCCGCGCCGACGGCGATCCTGGCAATGCGGTTGCCATTGCGTGTCATGGAAGGCCGTGCAACTGCGTTGGTGTGGGTCCGCCAGCTGCAGCCTTTTATTCGGTCCCTGGAATGCCCAGCGATGTCATGGTTTGCTTGGTGGGTGGGTGAGTGGGTCTTGGCACTTTGGCCAGGAACGGGCAATGGGCTGCATGTGCTCGCCAGAGACAACGCAACTGTGTCAACTGAGATCAGACCTCCATTCCGGACCCTCAGTTTGAGCCCAGTTCATCAATTTTCATCTTGGACTTCACTTACACCACCGCTTATTTCATAAGCCAATTCAAATTCATTCTCCATTACCAAGCTAATTCCAAAGTTCTGGGATTGCAACACTTGTCCTTAACCTCCATTGCTCAGTTGCTCGTTGTCTATCTGTGCGGTTCTTTCGGGCATAGCGGGGATTGTCCCGCCCATCCACCTACAACCTCCCCTTGCTAATAGCTCTCCATATCATGTCGAGTTAGCGGTATCCAAACACGGCAGAGCACCGCGATGTCGTTCGCAAGCACACCTGTGACGCGCACTCTGGTGCTAGGACTGGTCACCGCCTCAGTCGCAGCCAGCCTTTTCGACGTCAAGCACTACTTTTACATCTCGGTCAGCACACACATCTTGCAGTACCGCCAGACATGGCGCACTCTGATCTGGCAGCTGTGCTATACCAACTCATCCGAGGTGCTTGTTGCGGCTATGGCGCTGTACAACCTACGGGTTGTTGAGCAGCAGTGGGGGTCAAGGAAATACGCTGTATGTATCTCGCACACAGGGGTTTGATAGAGCAAACTTTCCTTTGCTAACTTGAAGCAGTCCTTTATTTTGGTATCTGGCCTTCTCACATCCCTCATACCTCCTATTGTCCTCACGGCAATCATCCGCCCCCTGAGCTGGGGTGTAATCGACTTCCTCCCCGCGGGACCGACACCTATCATCTTTGCCATTCTAGCGCAATACTATGCCATGATCCCGCACATCTACCAGTACAAGGTTGCCCTCACCACAGGCGCCCCAACTAGCAACGACGACGGCGCCGCACTGAGTTTCTCAGACAAGTCAACGAAGTATCTCATGGCGCTGCAGCTCGCACTCTTCCAATGGCCCGGCTCACTTCTTGGCGCCGGTGTTGGCTGGCTGGTGGGACAAGCCTGGCGGAGTGAGTTGCTGCCCGGCGCACTCACACAATGGCGTGTACCAGGATGGGTCGTGGGGTTGAGGGGCCAGAAGAGCAGTGACAGGTTCGAGGGTATGCGGCGGAGGCTGGAAAGTGAGGGTGCCTCGACGGGGACGGCATCTGGCGCGCATCCTCAGACCGGCACCGATGCTAACCGACGTAGGACGATGGGGCAGCAGCTTATGGATGAGGTACGTGGTGCGTTTTGAAAGATAGGTGGAAATCTCAAGGGGTTATCATCGGAGGCTGGATGATGTGCTTCGTCTTGGTCATGCAGGCGCTTGTGTTATTCTAGCATGTGGGAACGGTCGAACGACATCCCAGAAAGAAGCCAAAGTCGACGAAGTAGGAATAGGCCTTTCTTATTGCGCCCTGTGAGAATGAGGTTAAACATATTGAGGAAGGCTGCCCCAACCGGGCCTTATTCAAGTGTTTGGCCCGGCAATACTCGTAGATATTCTTCATGTCACACCGGGTGCAATGTGTAAAGTACATGGATACAGTATGTTCCAGACTGAAACGTCCACGCCACTATCCCTACAAACAAGTCAACATTGTCTCGGTACAGTGTCAAGACCGTGCGGTATCTTTGTTAAAGAATCCACCGAACGTCCCATCAGCATCATCCAAAAATGGCCCGAGGCCGCCGGACGGGTCTTGGTAAAGGAACAGACGGACAGGCACGCCTCAGGCAGTGGCCCGCTCCCCCAGACGCCCGCCAAGCGTTTAGCGCCCCCAAACGGGCAGCCTAGGCTGAGATTTTGCCGACTTTCCCAGCGCCCCGGATCGGCTGTGCCCGAAATCCACAGCGCCTTCCAACGCAACTCGGGGCGGGATACGGGTATCCGCTGCTGACAGTTGGATCCGTCAAGGTCGTTGTCACTGCCCGCCCGCAGCGTGGGTCACAGCCCCATCTCGGATTCACACCTCATCCCTTGTTTCCCATCCTTTGAACAAGAAAAAGTCGAACAGCAAGCCGGCCACTTTTCAACACCCAATTCGCCCTCTTCTTGAACCCTATCGCCGAGATATCCAATTGCCCGACCCTGCTTCCCGTTCACCCGCAGGATAATCGATCGAGTTACCAAATTCCACGTGCGACGCTGAGACAGATATCCCGGCGTGACCGTGAACCCAGTTCGGGTGCTGGTCGCTGAGTGAAGAGAGACCGCCCAAGATCCACTTTCGCGCTGCCTTCCTCTCTTTGACCCTGCGTCTCCGAAATTGCGTTGTGATCGGCGGCTCCATCCGCGTTTGCATTTCGGCCCTCTTTTCCCAACCACTTCTCCCCCCGACAAGCTCATTCTCCATCGACTTCGGGTTGCCTCTAATCTTCCACGCCCTGTTAACCACTTCGCCCACAACCACTCGCAAACGAAATCGTACACGAAAGACAAGCGACAGGGAGTGACGAAACGACTCGGAACTTGACGTACCCTAGAATCTGAGACCCGACCAAACGCCATAGCTATCTCGTCGTGACGCATGGCCGCATAGTTGGAAGACACTCGGCCACAACGCAGACCAGCGGCTGGGCGCAAAACAAAGAGCAAGAGCCGACCCTTGGGGGGTTCGCGGACTCGATCGGGTCTCTTGCATGATGCGGTTCTGAACAAACGTCGTTCCCTGATTCTTTGTTTTCCAACGCCACAATTTCGACGTCCCCCTACCCACACCTGCACACATGATGAACGGTGCGACGATGAGGCTGGTCAGCCCGGCGGGCAGGATGCCGGGGCAAAGGGGGGACCCATTTACTTCGCCAAAGAGGGGCGCCCCTGGCGCACCGCCTGTCGTGTCGCCAACAGGAAAGGCTTTGGTGGAAGGGTACAGGAAGGATATCCTGAATGATTTCGGAGGCGAGAGGCCAAGATACAATCCTGTACGAGCCATTAGCGTACTCTTCTCTCCCCTTCATCCTCCAGCTCGGTCTCGATAAGAGAGCCATTATCTAACCAAAACGTGCTGTATAGGGCAACGAGAGCCGTCCGCAAAGCTCACCACTCGTCGACCTCAAGGATCCGATCCAGGTGCACCTCCTGACCGAAACCGCCCTCTCAGACAGCAAAACATACGAGATTCTCTCACAAGAGGAAGTGGACGATCTCAAGAAGCAAATCCAGTCCCTGTCCATGCGGGTTGAACAAGCGCGGACGAATCTAGCGATCCAGTCCAAGTACCGTGATGCCGCGATCTCCATGGCCCGGCTTTATTCGCCCCCTTCCACCAAAGGGGACGGCAACAGCAAGAGGAGGAGTCTACTGGGGAACCGGATGAGTGATTCGGCTAAGGAGGCTGAGATGGAGAAGCAAGCGAGCGAGCGGCGGTGCGAGGAGCTCGCTTCGGAATTGTTCTCGCTTGAGAAGCGGCTGATGGAGCCACAACGACGACTACTTCAGCACACGGCCGGTATCCTGCAGATGACACACCGCGTTTCGGGGAAGAAGCCGAGTCAGTTACCAGTCGGGCCAATGATGAACGGCATCCCCAGCAGTCCGGAGAGCCTCTACACCTACACAAACACCCGCAACAGCATGGAGGTGCCATCATCGGGTGCTGATTTTGATTTCGACAAGAGCCCGTACTTGGATGGTCTCGGTGCGCCACGGAAGAACGCCATTGAAATTCCACTCAAGTCTCCCATTCGAGAGCAAAATGCGCAGCTGCGGGAACTGCGCGAGGAGGTTGATAAGGTCAAAGAAGAGAACGAGCGGATCATGGAGGAAAACGTCCAGCTCAGGACAGCTGAGGAGCAGCTCAAAAGTGACTTTGCCCAAATTCAGGAACAACACGCCCGGCTAGCGGCTTCGGAAGAGCAGCTCAAGGAGGAGCAAGCACACGCTCGGGACGAAATCTCGCAACTCCGGTCGCGCGAGCAGGAGCTGATGGATGAGCACAGCAAAGCGACAGAGGAGAATACTCGTATCCGCGGTGAGACATCACGGATGATGGATGAGACCAACCGGTACAAGGATGCCGACTCGCGCCTGAAGGCGATCGAGCAACAGATGACAGCCGAGACCGAGAGCCTGCGCGCGCAAAGCGCTGGGCATCTGAAGACAATCTCGGATACCGAGGCGAGACTTGATGCGCTGAACCGCAAGCTGCGGGATGTGATTGTGGCCTTCAACCCGACGAAGAACGGCGGGTTCGACGAGCCGAAGGCGGGCAGCGGGTCCGGCGAGTCGCTGACTAGCCAGCTAGAGTACATGGAGCGGGCTCTAGCAACCACGGCGGAGGAACAGAAAGGGTTCCTGGCCGAGGCGGCCGAATCGTCCGCTGAAACAGCAGCGATGGCATCGTCTATCAACGAAATTGAGGCTTCGCTCGACGAGGCGAGTGAGCGCGTGGAGGCCCTGGCACGCCAGGTACAAGAGGCTCTGCGGGTCTCGAACCCCGATCTAGCACCGCCTCCAGAGGGCGGCCTAGATGAGCAGCTGGGTTACCTAGAGGATGCGTTCAAGACGGTTGGGACCGAGCTGTCTCGGGCTCTCGAGGCAACGACATCCGCGTCTGCTAAGAAGAACGATATCGACCAGGTCGACGCCGTTCTCATGGGCCTGTGGGATATTATCCAGACGGGCTACGCGGAGATTGAGCAGCAAAAGGCGGTCCGCCGACAGAACCGCGCTCTAGGCCAGGGCGGTGCTGACGACGACGAGGAGCTGTCGAGCAGCGAGTTTGACGCCGACACCAACGAGCCATACTCCCTCCAGGCGTTCTCCGGCAAGGTACAGTGGCTTTACGCGCAGGCAACAGGCCTCCGCGAGCAAAAGTTTATCCTCCAGCGGCAAATCAAGCAGCAGCGCGAGCTCAACAACCGCAGCGAGTCCGAAAAGGACCGCGACCTCAAGGCCAAGGCCGACGAACTCGAGCAGACGCAGCACCTGCTCGACGAGGCCGAGCGCGCAACTACCGACGCCCAGACCCAGCTCCAGCAGGTCCTCGCCGACATGGACACACTCCAGAAGACCCAGGCCGCCAACGAGGCTGCCTCCGCGTCGTCGACTAAGTCGGTCCAGGACCAGCTCCAGGCGCGCAACGCCCGCATCACCACGCTCGAGAACGAGCTCCGCGAGGTCGAATCGCGCCTCGCCACCGCCGAAACCTCTATCAAGGCCACCCAGACCCAACTCGCCGAGTCCAACACCGCGCGAGTCGAAGCCGAAGCCGAGGTACAAGCCCTCCAAACCCAGCTCAAATCCACCGCCACCGCAGTTGACTCCGCCTCGGCCCAAGCCTCCCAGCTCCAAGCCGACCTGCAATCCAAGGACGACGAGCTCGACCGCATGAACATGATGGTCGTCGAGCTCAAGACCGAAGTCGCCTTCGCCAAGGCCGAGCTCGACGGCGCGTACGGGTCCCGCAAGCAGCGCGCCGCCGAGGCCGCCGCGCTGTCCAACTCCTCCCAGTCGGAGGAACTCAACAACACGATTGTGCGGCTGCGCGCCGAGCTGGAGAACGCCCTGCGCGATCTCGAGGAAATCACGCGCGAGTCGATCGCTGCCGAGCGCGAGCGGCTGGAGATTGAGGGCCGTCTGGACGAGGTGCTCGGGGAGAAGGGGGCATTGGAGGCTGAGGTGGGCAGGCTAGGCGAGCGGCTGGGCCGGGTCCAGGAGGAACTGGACGCCGAGCGCTTGAAGGTGTCTAGCCCCGGTGGCGGTGCGGGTGGTGCTGGTGCGGCCTCGAGGGTGGGCGCTGGCGCGAGCGAGTTGAGCAAGCAGTTCCGTGGGGTGATGAAGGAAGAGCGGAAGAAGTTCCAGGAGGAGCTCAGGGTTAGTCCTTATTTTCATCTTTTACTTTGCACCCCTTTACGCACCTCATCATACATGTACTAACCACCTACCCCCCAATACAGGAAGAACAATCGAGACGACGAAAACTCGAAGACGAGCTGCGGTCGCTCAAGCGCGGCCAGGCCAACAATGCCAGCTCTGCGTCCACGGCACGTGGGAGTGCGCTGGGTCCGAGGTGATGACGATATTAATGATGAATCAGCACGGCAGTATTGGGACCGGATGCCAACCAAGTATTCACTCAATGTACCAGCAGTGCTGAGATTAGGAATGGAGAGGAATTCTTTTGGGTTTTTTGGACGCAAGCAGATAGATGGATGGAGGATGGGCAATCGGTGTTGGGACGGGACGTCGGGATGATTTATTTGATGTCGTTTGGGGAAGGGGGGACGGGATCCCAGTACCCGTCTGCCCCTTTTTTTGAGAGATCGAAGTGCTATTCGTTCAGGGGTGCTTTTTTATTCCTTCTTTTACGGTGTTCGACGTTATAAGGGCCTGCTTTTCGTCTAGCGCATTTCCCGTTCACACGCGCATAACCCCCCCTTCCTCACGGGCTTCATGGGGAGGTGTTAAGGGTTTAGAGTATGCTTCTTTGGGGGGTGGAAGGGGGGTTCATTTCTCTCGTTTATACTTTGAGCATTTTTTGACTACGGATTTTTATTCTTTTCATTTTTATTGCTACGGGACACGCACGCACTGGAGATGTTAAAAATAGATAGATACCTTGAAGTTGAATATGAATTCCACGGGGGTTGGTGACAAGTGGGAGTATTAGCGGGATGTTTGGTTTAATCTTTGAGTGGTTACTCATTGTAGATTGTTATGTTTCGGGTTGCGAGTGAGATTGATAGACACGGTGGATCAACGAAAGAACAAATATAAGACCCCGAGTTCATATGTAGAACCGCCGTGCGAAACACTACCGAGTGAATGAAATACCTAGATCAAGTTCCGCGAGGTACATCTTTGTTTTCTGGCAAAGAATGAGTCCGAAGTACCAGTCAAATTCGTAAACGCGACATAAACTAGACAACAACTATAGTCAAAGCTAACGAATACACTCCAACGCACAAGGGAGAAAGACTATTCTTCTTATCCACATCCACATGGTTCTCTAGCTGGCTGGATCATTCCTCCAAGCTTTCCTTATATGCCCTCATCCCCCACCAACTTCCACGCTCATTTTCGTTCCCACCACCACAATCACACACCCTCACAACCTCAGCATAACCCACCGCAGGCCAGGAGGGAGTACCCTACCCCCAAAGGGGCGCCGTAACCTCCACAGCCCGTTCCACAACCGCCCGCACACGGTCCGCAAACACCCGGTTCCCCGATTCCACCTCCAACTCCTCCAACCACACGCTCGCCTCCATCTTGTCGACGCGGATCCGCACGCCAGGCACAGGGATACCCGCTTTGTGCAGGCGGGCTAGCTCGGCTTGCTGGCGGGCTTCTAGGGTGAATGCGGCGGGTTCCTCATCTTCTTCTTCCTTTTTAGGCTCCTCGTTGTTGGCGGCAGACTTCAGTTGCGCGGGAAGCGCGGGTAGTTTGGGTTCGGCGATGGGCGAGACGTTGTCCGCGCCAAACTGGGCTTCAAGGAACATCATGAGGCGTTCTAGGCGTTCGGAGGCGGATAGCGAGGCGTGTAAGTTGCGGTGCGGGAGGCTGATGATGGATGTTTCGGCGTCGGCATCAGCCTTGCCGTCAGTGTCCATGTCCTCTGCTCCTCCATGGGAATGGCTGTGGGTGTGTTTGCTAGAGGAACGCTTCACAGCGGCCGGGCTGGATTCGATGCCTAGAAGCACGGCCATGACGGCGTCGGCGATGCCGTCGTTGAGCATGTTGCCCTCCCACTCGAGCTCTACTTCGCCGCTGACGCGGTAGCGGACGGTTACGCAGCCCATGACTAGGTAGGCAGCGACAACGTGGTCCTGAGGGAACTCCTCGTCGGCCGGTTCTTCTGCCTTTTCATCCTCCATTTTGGTGTCGCCGTCACCGTCGCCGTCGTCCTCGCTGTCTTTGCCGTTGGTGCCGTTCTTGTGGACTTGCTTGCCCTCGGGAAGCTCCTCGACAGTTCCGAAGGTCCCTTCCAGACCCCATTTGATCAAGTCAATACCCGCAGCGCTGAGTTTGAGCCGCTGCTTGCAAGCGATGGTCGTGGTAGTCAGACCAGCGTACTCGCGGAGATCCTCAGGCGCCATGAGGGACATCTTGAAGTCGTTCTGGACGAGGACACCCGTGATGAGCTGGGGTTCGTTCGAGGCGTCCTTGAGCTGGTTTATGGGTTGCGGGACCGAGGCCAGCTTGCCGACAACCTTGGCTGTCTTGTCCGTCTTGAACGGGATGCGGAGCTCCTCGCAGTTCCGGGGGCTGAAGACCTTGACTTTGTTCGTCTTGTTGGCGTTCAGCGATAGTAACTTGGACTTGAGGCGCATCATATTGTGCACCTCGCCGTGTACAAGAATCTAAGTACTTATGTTAGCCAACTGCCCCAGTAGAGTAAGCATGGTAGACCACGTACCACAACCGGAGCGGCAACCTCCTCGATAAACTCCCTATTCTCCGTGCCGTCGACATGCGCAGCAAACGAGTACTCCTGAACGGTACACCGCCGCGGAATCATGACTTTCTCAGCATCTCCGCCTGGCGCTCTCCTGCCCCCCGCGGAGCTGCGTGTCATGACAGCCTGGATCTGCTCCGGCTCCTGCATGATCTGCTTGGCCATAGTGCCCTCGACACTGTAACCCGTGATGATGACGCCGTTCTTCTCGCTTGGCGCCCATCGCTCAAGCAGCTCCCTGCTTACGCCGTTCTGCAACATACCCGGACTGGCCAACATGACACACCCGCCGATGTCCTCGAACCGGTCGATACTCTTGAGCGAGCGGATGAACTTGAAATCCCACGGCCCACCTTTGCCGGCCCCATCGCCCGCGGCTTCCGCCTCGGCCATGCGTTCGCGGAAGAGTCGCTTGATGTTATCGTTCATGGCGCCGACATACGTCTGGTACACCAGCATACACTTGCGGGCGAGGTTGCTGGCGTAGTAGATAGGAAATTTTTGGTAGTCCCGGTGTTTGCCCCAATATTCGTCGAGAATGAGAAGCAGCTCCTGCGCACGACCGAGGGCGAAGACCGGCATCAAGACCCGGCCGCCACGGTTGAGCACGCCAGTGATAGACTTCATCAACGCCTGTTCTCTTTCTAGCCGTGGCACGTGTGACGCGATGCCATACGTCGATTCTGTGATGAGGACGTCGACCTTGACGCCCCGAGGGACCTCGGCGGACACCAGATGTCGGTCTTGTTCCCGCGAGTAATCGCCGGTAAACAGGATGTTGAGGCCAGCAATCTCAATCAGGAACATGGCAGCGCCGAGAACGTGCCCGGCCGGGTAGGGCGTGATCCGGATGGATGAGATCGTGTGTGTGGTGTGATAGTCGATCGCTTCGATCATGGGAAATGTGTTCAGGTGGTCCTGCTCGGTGTAGACTAACTGCGTCGTCGGATTGGACGACGTGTTGCCGACACGAACGCTGTCCTGGATGAGCCATTTGTAGATGGCCTTGGTGGGATGGGTCATGAACACACGCCCGCGGAAGTTGGTCTTGGCCAGTACATATGGTAATGACGCGGCATGGTCGATGTGAAAACTGTGCGGATTAGTAACTGCGTGTATGTGGCTCAACGAGAGGGGGGCTGGAGGGAGCATGTGAAGTTGTTTCTGCATGGGTGAAGGCACACAGAGGGTAAGACGGGGAGGCGGGGAGCAGCGACGGGCAACGGGCAATGGGCGACAAGATATTGTATTGTGGTAGTATTTCTGGATATACACTCATGACGGCATGGATATGACACATGCTTCGGCGCGGCAAAGAGTAACCTTCAGGCTACTTCAGCGGCCATGGCGATTCGACACTTCCGTCTCCTTCAAGCGCCCGCTTTAACCCATTGCCGTTGTTGCCCAGAGCCAGTCGCCACGGGTTTCATGCTCATTACTGGGAGGTCACACTGTAGTATACTTACTGGCTGATGAGGAGCACGTCCACCGTGCTGAGGTCGAAATCGTCAAAAAACGGCAGGCCTGCAAGCCCATCGTAAGCTGGGTGCTGGCCTGCATCGAGCTACGAAGAGCACGCTCGTGTTAGTAAACAGTAACGAAAAGGAGAGGCCGTAACGCACCATGACTGTCTTCCCCTTATACTGGATGACGTGACAAGACCGGCCAACCTCGTTCCCGCCGCCCAAGCAAAGAAACATGAGCTCGTCGGCCGGATCAACGGGCTCCTCTGGCACAGAGGCCGCCATGGCAGATGCCTTACGCTTCGAAGCCATTGTTCCTGATGTCCTGGGCAGACTGGGACTTCGTTACTCTGGTTCTCTGCCTCTCCGTACGGATCCGACAGAGCAAATTGAGAGTAACTCTCCTAAAAACCCGGGCGTTCAATGCGGAGATGCTTCTTGACTGTCACTTGGCGCTAACGACGCGATATGCAATACAGCAGCTCACTCTCAACCAACGACTAAACTTTTTGGGCGAGTCGCCGAATGTACTCGAGGGGAGACTGGTCAGAAGACCGGGAATCCACAATCGAGAGATATTGCAAGGTTGCTTCTTATCGCTATTCAGCAAGCCTATTCATAGCGGAGTTTTGGCCAGAACAATAGGAATGAAAAGTAAGGGCGAGTGTTGTGGAAGCTTGCTTCGAGGTTAAAAAAGGCCCGCCTGTTGCAACGCTGCGGCTCTTGCCTTCCTGTAACACGCTGCTACGCGTGCCCGCCCTCCAACAAAAAAGGTCAACGGCTGCTGAGCACAAGCGCCCCACTCCCAGTTGGAGACCCACCCGCCTCCAAAAGAGCTTTCACGTGACCGGCCGAAACGCGACAGACTCCGTTGAGAGGCAGTTCTTTCCGATTTTGAACTAGACAGTAGCGGATGCCACGATTACCAGCCTCGACTTTCCATCGATCCCGCCAACAACAAGACCAGCGCAAGGGGTACGACTTTACGAATTTATTTACTGGGTTGAAATCAAGTCAGTTACCAACTCGAAACCGGCGGATGGGCTGTGCGCAGGGAGTTTTGGCCGGCAAGCAGGGTGCGCCTGCCCTGGTGTGATTATCCAAGAGGACAGTTGCGATTTCACGACGCGCCTCTTCCACAACGCGCGAAACTCCAACCCTTTATCGCTCCTTCCAGTTTCGATTCGAAAAGAAGTTTTGCCACGCGCACACAAATTTTTCTTCAATCCCGATCCCGACGGCGCTTTCTACCGCTCCCGCCGATCCCGATCTCAACTGCCAACTCTTCCACCCTTCGCACCTTGCGCAACTCTTCTTCCTCCACACCAGGCCGATTGCCACGAAAGCTCAGGTACTCCCGACGAAACCTAGCCGCGTCCTATACCTATCAAAACCTCGCCTATCTTACCTACCGCCTTTTCAAAATGGCGCAGCCGCAACCGCAGGTGCCGCAGGCGCCCGCCCATCAACATCAATCTCCCCACATGCAGCAGATGCACCCACAAATGCAGATGTCGCAGATGCAGCACCATCAGCAACAGCAGCAGCAACAGCAACAGAGACCTTCGTACTCTCCTCCCCAGCACACTCCGTCGCCCGCCGGCACCCCTCAGCCCGGCTACGCGATGCCTCCCGCGAAGCGATCGCACATGTCGCCCACCTCTCCCCCGCCTGCTCAGCAGCCTTACGTCAATGCGCCCTATGCAACGAACCCTCCGATGACCGCTACGACTCCGGCGCCCGTCGCTTCACCCAGTTACAGCAGCAATCTTGCCGTGCCCGCGGCTGTTCAGCACTACAACAATACCGCTTACATGAATGGCAATTCGTCGCACTCGCCCGCGCACACCCCTCTGCAGACACCCGTCCATACCCCGGTACTGTCGCTCCCCGACACCCGTCCGTATCCCACGTCGCCGGCTCCCCTTGGCCCCATGGCCGCATCCACCCCTCCGACTCCTCAGCAGTACACAACGGCGACTATGGCCCCAATTACCGCCTCACCCCTTGCGACGCCCGGGGCGATGGGCCCTCCGTCTAAACCCGCTGCGAAGGACGTGAAAGACGTGAGGGATGCGAAGGAAGTCGAGTATGACGTCGCTGACTCGCTGGCGGGGACGGGTATCGACCTCCGCGCCGAAGAGCAGGCCTTGGCGGAATTCTACGGCGGGTCCTTCGAACGCGAAGCTAGGACTGGTGCGCCCGCTAACGCTCCCGGAAATCGGGGGTCGTTTTACGGTGCTGGTTTGGCCAATCAACCTGGCGAGCCCGTCGCTGCTGCCAGTCAGGAGGAATATGAAGCTGAAGTTGCCCGCAAGGTTTGGGACGACGCTGCTCAGAAGCTGGCAGCCGTGCGCAGCGTCGAGATCAACAACCCCTTCCTCATTATTGCGAACCTGCACCACCGCATTGAGAGGATTGCTCGGGAACACGGGCTAGGTGTAAACCTGGACCTCAAAAATGCAAACCCGGCGGGCAAAATGAAACCGGCCCAAGAGTTCCCTCCCCCCCGGGTTACCGTTAGCACAACTCCCAGCCCTGAGGGCACATTTGTGACAACTACCGGCTCGTTCATCCCCCACGATGCCTATCTTGTCGATCAGCTGGCCCTTGTGTCAATCGCCACCAAACACCGTCTTCGCGAACTACTCGAGGATGCCAACACAGTTGCCATTCACCGCCAGACTACCGCCCACGGCGAAATCCCCGCCGAGTGGGCCGACGTCGCAGCGCCACTTCGCACCGGTCTAGATTCCCTTCCGGATGACCCCATGGATATTGAGGGTTCAAACACCCGGAAGCGTATGGCGCCAGACTAGCCTTTCCTTTTGATCGTTCCCTTGTTAACATGATGTGATAGGTTCCTATGACGAGTATGCTACCCAGAACGCCACACAAAAAGGCGGCAGACACGGCCCAAGGAATCTCATGGAAGCCGTTCGCGATGGCGCAAAGACCGACCGTGATGTAGAAGAAGCCAGACTCCAAAAACGTCAGAAGCGGCTGAACCCAGAGCCTGTCGCTAGTGGTTCCCGCGCCGGCTCCGCCGCGCCCGGCACTCCTGGCTCTGGCGCGGCCCCCGAGACAGAGACGAAGGCGCCCTCCAAAAAGGAATTGAAAAAGGGTGCTGCGGCCGCGAGATTAGCCGAAGCCTCTAGCACTGCGAGCACGAATCAAACGCTCAGCACAATTATGGGCCGTAAAAAGAAAGAGTATTCCTGGTTGAAGAAGACCGGCAGTGGTGCCAGCACCCCGAGGGCCACCACAGGCGATGCGAGTTCAGCGACTAGTGGAGACAGTGCTAAGGTTCCTGAGAAAACTACTCTTACTTCCGACCCGAGATACCCCCGTCTCGGCACCTGGCGCGAGGACAAAGAAAAGGGGAAGAACATTCAGCTCAGAGACTGGGTTGCCGTCCTGGAGATGGATGGCATCGAGACCAGAGCCATCCAAGAGGCGTACTTGAAGCTAGATTCATCCGGCCCCCGCGACAGGAACTAGAGATTCCACGGATACTAATCCGTCCTACGCTCAGTCCGTGAGCTCGCCAAGGCAGCTTACCTTTTTTTTGCTTTTCTTCTTTTCTCACTTCCCCCGCGCCTATTCATTCGTCACATTACGGTTTTCAGGCGGAAACACGACGATACCTACGCGGCACATCCAAAAGATTGGGATTATTTATCAACAAGACGGGCTAATGCCTACTTCATCGGTTTGTACACGACGTCATGGGAACGAAATTGGACGCTTCGTCGGACATGAAGGGGTGCCGTTCGCATTTCACCGTCACGGTTGCGATCATGCGCACGAAACATAGCTCGTTGTGATGAGGGGCTAGACGCACGAAACTGTTTTTCTTGAGAAAACTTTGATACCGAAGGCTCGGGGACCGGCCTAGAATGGAGTCCCTGGCCTTCCACGTTTTTGTAATTTTTCGTTCTTCTCTAGCTCTTTTCTTCGTCCTTCATCTAGCCAGGCGTTGACACCAGGATTCTGGGGGGTGGGGTGTTCTGGCATTACGGGAATCGGAAAGGGACCGGAAAGGAAGAGAGGGAAAAGAGAAGATGCGGCACGACTTGACCAGGGAGGTTCACGTCGCTTTGCCCTGCTTGCGTTGCGTCAACGAGTTCTGCACTTATATGCACCCTTGGGCTGGGGAAACCGCACGCAATTGCGTCGTCCCGGATACGGATGATGGTGGAGAGAAACGCGCCGCCGTCTCGCCGCGCGCTTTGCACCCCGTGTAACCCAGGGAAGCGAGAATTGAATTTGTTTTGATGCATCTTGTGTACATCGTCGTTGAAGTTAATGCAATACTCATGAACCACGTCCCTCAAATATCTACCGATTTCTCGCTACACCGAGTCGTCGGCCCCTTCCTCCACTGTCGAGCTATCAGCCATTCCGTGTTATTCCGGATGGCTGTCTTCATTCTCACGACTCCCCAGTGAACGATATCCCTGTGTTCTAACTAACTAGGAGAACTATAGACTTCCAATGGATGACGTTTCGACGGATATGAAATGGATTAGGACTCAAGAAGGAGTGCTTTGATATCTTCGACCGTCTGCCATAACTCACAACCCCGTCAATACTCACGACGACACCAAGGACGCACCGGAACCTAGGCTGCCAGCGTATCTCCACAAAAGAAGAATTGCGAAGGACAGTTTCCCAATCAGGAAAGTTTCCACGATCTCCTGTGAAGCGTCAGTGGTTTAGTGGTAAAATCCATCGTTGCCATCGATGGGCCCCGCGTTCGATTCGCGGCTGACGCATTCCTTTTGGTGATTATTTTGGAAGCGGTCCTTTGTGGTTAGGTATCCATCTGGTTTTGTTTCCCTCTTGTCCTTTTCTTTCGCATGTCTTCCGTTCGTGTTTCGTGGTTGGTTTGTTACTTTGCTAGGGGGGTTGCGTTAAAGGAGTTGGGGATGATGCACGACGCCTTGAGTGGATGAAACGTTAGGCTTGTGGTGGGAATTACATAGTAGAACTCGGGGTTCTTTGATGGTAACTATCCGGTACTATAGTAGAGCTTTTGTTGGACAAAGACCTAGCTTGGGAAGACATCCTCGTGGCATTGTCATCTGGCATTATTGTTTTGTCAGTTGAGTTTTGTTTAATGTTACTTGTTTACTTATTCAGGGGTATTTGGTTCTTGTTTATTTTCGCTCAACTCAAGGCAGACACTTAGTTTTAGATTAAATCCCTGTGCTAAGCCCTAGGTAGAACGAGAAGGAAGTGAAGGACAGTACTACTTTCGCAACATTGATATGGCATCACATTCGCAACGTTGCTATGGTATTACATTCGGGGCATTGTCATGGTAACTATTACATTCGCAACGTTGAAATGGCCATGGTAAACTTTAATGTTTCTTACCCTTGGATTTGGTGAAGATATGGGGTTGTTTTCTTTCCACGCTTCCGAAAAGTCGAAACGGCATTCACCGCAAATAATTTCCATGAGTGCTTTGATAGATATTCACTGAATATTTCTGACACTGAGGTGCCACGCAGTTCCAATCATGCATATCCCAGTTGGTACCGCAACCACCACGATTAACGGCTTCGCGAGGATCTGTTTGTTAGACAAACAGCCAGATCGATCGGCTCATGTGCGGCCAACGGCTTTGACACACCGTTGAGAACACTGTCAACACCAACAATCGAAACGGCCAAAACGGCAAGCAACTGAGACGAATCGCATTTGGTACTTCAACTCTAAGTTCACACAATTCACTGAACGACGTCCAACCAGGACAATGTTTGACGCCCGTTCTCCCTAAATAGGGTATGTTGAGCTTATCTTGAGCGGGGGAGCTGAGAACAAAGCAGCGCCACTAACCACAGGAATACACAGAAAAGGGATATCTGCATTCCAGCCTTAAGCAACTCCATACATTCCTTCATCGTCAACGGGTCGATCCCCCATTGTCGGCTCATCCCTCCGATCGAAGCTATTCGTACTGTCCGTACAGCACTACAGATTACCGCTGCAACATATGAGCGAGTCATTCGCCCCGTCTGCCACCAGAATCACTAATCATCAGGTGCTTGCTGTCTTGAAATTGATTTACACCCACTGTCACAAAGACGGTGTGTTCTCAACGGCCGAGACTACACCGAGGTCTCAGCATCAACATTTCCCACGCGGACACTGTGCTTCCTGTAGCATCATCCTTAAGCAACCAACAAGAAACACAAGCCACCAAGCAAGCGAGCAAACAAGTGGAAACCGAGACGCCCCCTTCCTCTTCCCCCCTTGCCCCATCCACCCATCCCCATCTGCACTGCACGATCGCCGCCTGCTTGTCTCTTCTCTTTCTTTCCTTTTCCCTTTTTTTTTGCCCGTCTCCAGCACGCCACTGTCCCTTCCGGAACCAAGAGCCGGACCAAACGGAAACAAGCCAGTTCGGTTCCCTGCTATTGATCTCCCGAACCCCTCGTCCGTAACCGTTGCATTGTGGCTTGATCAACCCAAGGAAGGGGGACGGCCGTTTGTGTGTGTTTCTCTTTTCTTTCTTATTTCCATTCCCCGCTTGCATTGACGTTCTCGTCTCAGGTCGACGTTCGAGATATGAGGCAAAAGCCTAAACCGGAAGATGAAGAGACTGCGTGTTGGACGGTTCAGGAGGAGTTACTCGGCACCTCCCGTCTTTGCAGAGATCTGATGGATGGGGTCTCGGTTGGGCTCGGCTTGAAATGACATGGTCTGGAAACATATGTGGGTAGTTACATGCGACGCGATGAATGTGGTACATATCACATACATGCTCGAGCTACATGGTATGCCATATGCCATGACCGAACCACACGCGTGCACGATGGACAGTCCTTTCGATCCATCGGCTCATCCCGCTTGCCTGTGTTCTAGTGTATTACATAGTAGTAACGTGTAGTCATGTGTACATCGATCTGCACATCGTCACTGCCCAGAACATCGCAAGCTTATCCCCCCGCGGATCTTGGCGATGATCGTCCAACAGTTTTCCTTGGGGTTCAGATGGGATAACCTCGCTTGACGCCCCTTTACATGAGCTGCCCTGTGAGCAAGGCAAGAACCAAGCCCTGGCCGAAATCTCTGCATGCCAATCGGACTCCTCTGCAGTGTAGATGGGAGGAGATATGACGGAGATCTCGGTATGCTAGCGGGCCGGACAATCTCCATCACGATTTCATTCCGCACGACGGCGGTGGCGGACATGGGCTCGCCAACATGAACGATAACGTTGACGTTAAACGTTAAACAAGAAAACAAAAACTCTTTCAAGTCCCAGAAAGGAAGGGAAACAATTGTTTTGGGCGTGCCTAGCACCCACCGGACTGCAGCCCTATTGTCACCCGGAACCGGCCGGGTCATCTCCCGCAAACACAGTGTGTGGGTGTGTGGGTGTTTGCATAACGGCGTCGGGCCAACGATCTCCGTATCGAGAGCACATCTGTTGTGTGTGTACGCGTGTAAGCGCCGGACTGCAGGCCTATTGTCACCTGTATTGGGGTCATGTCCGGTGGTATCAGGCGGACGGAATTAGCGACTAATCATTTAATCTACGGATACCAACCACCACTACATGAGTTAGTTAGGAGTTGGTTATGTGATATCCTATGCTGATTTGGCGAGATGCCGCCAAAGATGGAGAGTAATCACAAGCTGTGTTTGTATGCGCGCGGTTCTCAGCATTGGTCAGCCCACTTGATGAGTGAACCTTAATTTTTACTGTCTGCTCGTCCGGTCGACCAAAGCGGCGCTGGCGAGTCATTTTTCTCTTTTCTGATGTTTCTCTCTCTCACTTTTTTCTGTGGTTGGTTGGGAGACCAGGGGTAATCAACGACAGGGGTAACAAACACAACGGATCGATATCTGCGTTATCTCCTTTCTTGAGAATGAGAGAGGCAAAACGGCCGTCTCAATAGCATGACGTCGGCCAACAGCGAACATGCTGAATGCGATCCATCATCCCTTCTTCTTATGACGAGCCAAAAAGAAAAGATCTCCCATCGAAACTGGTTTTTGTTGTTTCGTGATAAACAAACCCTGTGTGCCTATCGCGATCCATGGGTGGGCAAATCGCGGACCCATGTCCTCCTTAAAGGCTGAAATTTCCTCCCCCAGCTGAACAAGGCGGCACCACGCAAGGGCCCCTAGAAGCCTCCGGGGGGTTTTGCGGATTTTTTTTCTTGCATCAGCCGGCGCAGAGGCCATCGCCGAACGTTCAGGCACATGTGGAAGGCCACGCCCTCCCGACTGCCTAATCAAGGCCCGGCCGGCAAGTCAAACCAGCTAACGGACCCGAGCAGGCGGCTATTGTTTACGATCATGGGCGGGCCGAGCAAGGGCCCATGAATGCTCTGGATGAGTTGCTCCCAACGGTTGGCATCGCCGAACCCGAAACGCAGGGGGCTGGAGAGAAGAAAAAAAGTGCTTGCCGGCCGGCACTGAATGACCCTGTTCAGGTTTTTTTCCCCTGTGTGGCTGTGTGTGTTCTTGATGTTTGGTCG